TCATCTCGACAAAATTAAGAAAGAATCTTCAATTCTAGAACAAAAGGCCCATGGACCTGAGCTGCAATCCAGTATACAAAACACTACATAACTTTAAAGGGTCACCATTTCTGCAGTAATTATTTTTTTCTGATTCTGTATTATAATAATGTTGCAAAAATAAACGTGAAGCTATAAAGAAAAGAATTTTGATGATATATGAACTTATAAAACCATATAGGAGGCAGACCACCATTAAATTTCATCATCTCGGTACCCACGAATTGTAGTTCGTCTATTTATAGCAATTCTCTCTCTCTCTCTTTTCTCCCCTTTTGCATGCCCATTTGTGTTGATTTTTTGGTCTAGAATGGATGAAGAGGGTTTGAATTAACATTTTCTGCCAGGTTTTGGTAAATATTCATGATTTTGAGGCGGAAGGATAAGAGGGTTATCAGGTTAGCTACGGCGATATGTACGGCAACTAGTTACATGTTTTTAGTATGCTTCTTCAAGTTTGTGTATCTCAAAATTTTGGTGGTCAACCTCATACAAATTTTAGTGCAAAGACATGACCATTTGTTCCTCTGTCTGTAGTGGAAAGCATTCAGCCCAACGAAAATTTGGGGAAAAGTTGGAGGTGGGCAAATAGGCCAGAATTAACATTGAAGTCAATGGGGAAATTAATGGTGGTCTGCCTCCTATATAACTGACTGATGTGACGAGTGATAACGGATATACGGCCGAATTTCTGCTCACTAATAATTCCTTCCTAACAGCATCCTAACACATGACACAATTATATACAATACAAGATAAAAACAGGCCACCGCCAGCTAAAGAAAAGGGTAAAATCTTTTGGCGATCTTCTTAATCTGATTGAATCCAAGCTAGGAGATTATCTACCATTAAAATTTTGTGTTTTCTTATAATTAAGAACGCGTTTGAGAGAGCATCATGCAGGAACCCATTTTCACAGTTGTTTTATGTATGATGGGTAACAACCCCAAACCGTACTGTCCCAATATTAGATCAATCAAACGATATTTAGAGTGTAGAAATTTTTTTGAAATTTTAATACCCCACCACACCCCCACCCTCACCCCCGAAAAAGCCAAAAATCGTCATTTCAGGCCATTTTTCAATTATGGGGTACAACTAAAGTAGGGAGAGTAGATTAATAAAACTGTATAGGGTAGTAGACATGGTTAGTGAGGATATATATTCTGAAAGTTTGATGGACTTTCATGGAGACGTTCTTGGTATAGTGACTTAGCGCTGCAAGTCACCTTTTACTATGAAACATCATCATTATTTACAGATCAAAATGTTGTAATAAGAGACTGCGAGGAAACAAATCGTGAACGTGAAAGACGATTGGCAATGTGGCAAGGGGTGTATACATCAGAGACCTGTACAGAGTTGATGGTTTCCTTTTTTTTCTACATAGTACCCTTCGAGGTGTACATACTTTTCCCCAACGATGTTGCAAGGCTTGGATGCCGGTGAGGAAAACATTTTCTTTGGCCACCCTAACAAAAAGTAGTTCACAGCTTACATGGCATTATTATTACTAGGAAAATGACGACCGGCTAGTTCCTTTTTTGAAACTGGTCTCATCCATAATTGGTTACAAATTTGGCCAAAAATATTATTAGGATCTGCTTCAAAACGTCAGGAATCCGACACGTTTCTGATCCGCAGTCATGGTCTTTAGCACCATTCTTGCAGAAAATTTTGTCATTCCTAACTCGTTGGCGATAATGTGATCAACCCTCTCGAGATGCCCACAACACTGGCAATATGTCGAGTGGTCAATCGTCAAGCGCCTGTCATGCACCCAGGTAATGTTTTGTTGAATGGTTGCCATTGATGGCCTTTTAGGGTGTGGGTCATCGTCAAGACTCTCTGCCATGCTTTCCATAGTCCACTTCTTTACTGTGGAAAAGGAAGGGCCATCATACCCTTGCTGGCGACGATGTGCTTAATTCTCTCATTAGAGATGCCCACAACATTGGCAATATGTTGAGTGGTCAATCAGCCATCACCATGTCACGTACCCGGATAATGTTTTCTTGAATGGTTGCTGTTGATGGCCTCCCAGGACGCGGGTCATCGTCAAGGCTCTCTCTGCCACGCTTAATTCCACAGCCCACTTTTTTTTACAGTGGAAAAGGAACGTGTATCATCCTTTAAAGTGGAGGCCATGTTGACATGTATTTGTGTTCGGGTACGTGCTTCAGTTGCAAGTGCACTATAACCAGTTTGTACATTTCTGGTTCATAAGATCAGATACGAAGCCAATAATAACACTACAGTTGCTGTTCTTATGTCTGTGATTCATGCAATGATTCTACTTGCAGGTGGCAAAAGTTTGTTTCAATTCAATCGATCTATCCTTTTCGGGCTTAGAATACGTCAGTCAGCCCTCGTATATGCTTTTCATGAAAACATAGCATTTATTTAAAAGTTTCAGTGTAGTCCACCGCAACCCCACGAAAAGTGTTCTGCGGCCCCGAGGTTGGGAACCCAGGATCTAATTACACCGTTAAAATTTTTAAACGATGAAGTTTGAAAAGCTGAATTTACTGTAAATGCCAAAAGAGCTGTTCTTGGTAACCTTTCTTTTCGCATTTTATTAATTCAGTCTCATGATCTAGTAGGAGGATGATGAATTTTGGAGCAACAAATTGTAAAAACTAAATAATTTATTTTATAATGCACTTCAAAGAATAATCGAAGTTGATAGTCTTTTATACTAGCATAGTAGTCATTTTCATCTGTCTATACTTGACAAACCAATGAAGTGGTTATTTGAAAAAGACAAAATATTGATTTTGTCAAAATAAAGGATGGTTTAACTTCTCATATCTATCTAACTGTAACCAACCATGTAATACTATATACACAGAATTATCTTCCTTGATCAATAGTTTGAATACGTAGAACTATTATCACATGAGTGAGTGTATTTATATACCATGTAAATGGGTTGTAATGTCTAGTGCATGTGCGTAAGTTCACAATTGTAGTTTCTTTCAGATAGATGGCTACTAAACTGCATTTTATTTGTGGAAAATGTCAGGGAAACAAACAGCTGATTTCAGCCCCTATCTTGGATGCTGAGGACGGGTTGGATTCCAAACCCAGCTTCAGTCTGACTGATGATCAGTAGGCAATGATTGATTTTATTGAAAAAATAATGCCAGAAATATAGTCATTTTCTTCAAGTTGAGGATCAAATTTAATATCAAAGAAATTGGTGCTAGTCAAGTTACAATTTGATATGCACGAATATCGATAGGAACCAAGATCTTTGGGTTAAAAACATGCATTTCAAGTTTCATCAAAATTGTGACCTCTTGAGGGTCCACACCTTGATATACCAGATGTTTACACTATTTGCGTACAAGGGGCGGCCATTTTGTCCGACAGTTTTGGTGCGATTTTCACGAAATTCGAACTAAACCAAAATTACGATGTAACAGTGATATATTAGAATTTTTTTTTTAAACCTAAAAACGCTATTTTTCGTACAATCAAAAGCCATAATTAAGGGAGTTACGATCTGATATGCATGAATATCGAAAGGAAACAAGATCTTTGGGATATAAACAGGCATTTCAAGTTTCATCAAAATCAGATCAAAATTGTGACCTCTAGAGGGTCCACAACCTTTATATACAAGATGTTTACATTATTAGTGTACGAGGGGCGGCCATTTTTGGTCCGATTGTCACAAAATTCGAACTAAACCAACAATATTGTTTAACGGTGATATAATCAAACGGTTTTTAAAATCGGATAATAATTGTGTCCTCTAGAGGGACCAAAAGCTAAAAACGTGATTTTTCGTACAATCAGGGACCATAATTCAGGAAATAACAATTCGATATATGCAAATATCGAAATAAACCGAGATCTTTGTGTTATAAACTTACTTTCAAGTTTCAACAAAATCGGATAAAAAAAATGTGACCTCTATAGGGTACACAACCTTGATATACCGTATTTTTACGCAATTTGAGAACGAATGGCGTCCATTTTGTCTGTTAATTTTGGGCTGATTTTCACGAAATTCGAATTCAGCCGTCCTCCGGGTTTAACGGTCATATATTTAAATGTTTTTTTTAAATCGGATAAAAATTATGACCTCTATAGGGTCCACAAGCCAAAAAACGCGATTTTTCGTACAATCAGGGGCCATAATTAAGGGAGTTACGATCCGATATGCGCGAATATCGAAAGGAACCAAGATTTTTGGGTTATAAACATGCATTTCAAGTCACTTCTAGCATGTCTATGCGCTAAAAACATGATTTTTCATACAATCAGATAAACCTATATTTTAGGTTTCGTCAAAATCGGATAAAAATTGTGACCTGTAGAGTGTCCACAAACAAATTGTGGACGGACAGACAGGGGCGACGGCATAATACTTCAACATGAAAATAAAAAATAAAACCTCAATAGGCAATTTATGGAAAATAGTTGAATTTAGGGCAAAAAATCTTTACCCCCCCCAAAAAAACCCATTTTTCACTCTAAAATGGCCATAGCTGGTTTGTTGTAAGTGGGGATTAACGTCCACTCGACACAAACTAGATCATTTTGGGACTAACATATGGTTCAATTTTATTTCAATAATTCGCTTGCACATAGGGGTCTTTAGCAGTGGGAGGAAACCGGAGGAGCCGGAAAAAACCCACAAGGTTGGACAGACGACCCTACTCCTATTCGAAACCACTCCAGCTGACAGGCCTTATGATACAAAATGCACGTGCTAACCATTTGGCCATCCAACTCCCCTATTTCATGTGGGATATACAGGTTCTCAATGCATGGTCGCCTCACAAACATGTTCTTAAATGTTACATAATCAATTCAAGTTCATTGTAACACAGATTAAGTTGTGAAAGATTTAATATTGTCCGAAAAAGGCACAATTGGAATCAGCGACTTTAACTCAGGGATTTCCCAAACATCTGTGGTTGAAAATTAAAATTATAATATACATAACATAATAATAAGTATGTGATTTAATCATTAGAAATGTATTATATACATTGAACAATACAAGCAGTAATTAAAGACAGAAATAGTCAAGAGGTATAATAAATCCATATGTACAAAAAGGAACATTCTAAAGTTCATGTTTTTTACAAAAATTTACAATCAAACATAAAATGTTTACTAACATAAATATGCTCATAAATCAAATGGCACGTGTTTTCTCATCTCATCACAAATTATCCGTTAAGTCTCCTTTGTTATGAAAATCAATTATTAATCCCTAAAAACGTTACTGATATTTGGAGATTTAATCTTTAACTTTTGATACTTAAAATCTTAATCATTTTGTTATCTTCTCAGTCTCATGCAACAAGGTTTATTACTGTCTACTTAATTCCCATAGCAACTATTACAAAGATTAAATATTTTCATTTCAAGAATATATTATGAATCCTTTTATAATAATATTAATTATAAATCATAATAAAATCAAGACCATCCTATATATAAAAACTACACATTTTTAAATTAGTATATTAATTACTTCTTTGATAGGTTCATGTATTTAGTATTTGAACATATTAACACAAGGAACAATTTTACAGAAACACAATTATTAAATTTCTTACTACTGGATATGCAACGTTTTGATTAAAACCTTGTACTTTTATTACTCCACTTTTAACAATTTCTTTCTTTTTCTTAAACCAGCGGATGCCAGCAAGATAATCCACATTTTGCAAGAGCTGGATGGAAAACAAGCTTAAAAAAACAAAAACCAGCGATTTTGTGTACAAACAGGGGCAATAATCCAGCAAGTTATGGTCTGTGAATATCAACAGGCGCCGTAATCCAGCAAGTTATGGTCTGAAATGTGTGAATATCAAAAGGAACTGAGATCTTTGGGATGTAAACATATATTTTATGGACAAAAATTGTGACTTACAATCTTGTATTACATACGTTTACATTAATTGCGTTCAAGCTGCGCCCATTTTCGGTCCGATTTACCTGAAATTCGAACTCAACCATCATCAGAGTGTAACGGTGATATATTTAAATGGTTTTTAAAACTAGATAAAATTTGTGACATCTAAATCCACAAGCTAAAAATGTGATTTTTTGTACAATCAGGAGCCATAATCCAAGTTATCGTCTGATATGCGTGAATATCAAAAGGAAAAGAGATCTTTGAGATATAAACATATTTTATTTTCATCAAAATCGGATAAAAATTGTGACCTCTAGAGGGTCTACAACCTTGGTATTACATACTTTAACACTTGTTGCGTTCAAGCAGCGGCCATTTTGTCGGGCAGTTTTGGCCCAGTTTTACGAAAATTCAAACTCAACCATCATCAGGGTGTAACATTATGGTGTAATGGTGATATATTTAAACGATTTTTAAAATCGGATAAAAAAATGTGACTTCTAAAGGGTCCACAAACTTAAATCCTATTATTTTTTTTTTCAATCAGGGGCCATAATCCAGGAAGTTACGGTCCGATATGTGCGAATAGCGAAAAGAACCAAGATCTTTGGGATATTAACACATGTTTTAAGTGTCATCAAAATCGGAACAAAAGTGTGACCTCTAGATCTGGGTCCACACACTTGATATTACCTACTTTAACACTATTTGCGTACAGCGAGCAGCCATTTGTTCAGCAGTATCGGTCCGATTTTCACAAATTTTGAACACAACTCTCATTTTTTTAAATCAGATAAAAATTGTGACCTCTATTAGGACTACAAGGTAAAAACGCGATTATTTGTACAATCCGGGGCTATATTTGGGAAGTTACCGTCCAATATGCGCGAATATTGAAAGGAAACAAGATCTTTGGATTATAACCATACATTTTAAGATTCATTAAAATCGGATAAAAATTGTGGCCTCTAGAGTGTCGTCCACAAACTAAAAAAATGATTTTTAGTACAATCAGGGGCCATACGCCATGAAGTTATGGTCCGATACATGTTAATTTTGAAAGGAATCGTGATCTTTGGGATATAAACCTATATTTCAAGTTCTCTCGATTTTAAATATAGACAAAAGATGACATATGGTGGTGTTAGCCCCAGATATTATCTTTCAATTTAACAGACGTTGTTCGATAACATTTTCAACCACTTGGCTGCCATATTGGATTTTATAAAAAAAAAACAACCTTCAAATCGATATTCAGCTGCCATTTTAATTCTGATTTCCGAAAACTTTTTTTTGTATTGAACCTACTTCAAATGGCAACAATTCTTAGAGAGCCGATTTTTGAATTTCGATTTTGTTTCCTTCCGGTTTCACTTTGAATTTTGTTCAACTTTTCACCAGCTAGCTGGTGACCTAACCTTTCAATGACCCTTGACCTTTGTATGTATGATGACCCTGATGTCTACTAACAATTAATATTAAAAAAAGTTTGGTCTTAAAGTACAACTTCCGGTTTTATTAAGATTTCAAAACGACAGGTGACCTGAAGTACCGAAACACGTCAGTACTTGTTCAAAGTTCTAGTTTTCTACTACAGCTATGAATTTTATTACCAGTAAACAAATAAAATTAGAATTCAATTACATCTTTACAAATACATATCTTCTTTTATTTGGGTAAAAAAAAAAATGAATAAATAATATTTTAAGCAATTTGTTCTTTTGCAAGGAAGGTTATAAAACCCCTTTAAAATTACCTATATTTAGTCCTAAGTTGGTTAATAAATATAACTTAAGATAATATCTTTTATTAAAATGTAAATATATTATTCTGATGCAATGGAGGTGAGGACCATTAGAGAAGTCTACTTTGGTGCAAGGTTTAAATTATCCATTACAAATTTAATTGCACGCATTGGATCGTCTATTTCTCGGATGCTGTCTCTGTTTAGAAGCCAATCCGGACGAACTTTACGTTTCTTGGCAGGAGTTGATAAAGGTAGAGTTCTATTGAATGACTTTGAGGCATTCATTTTAGCTTTCACTAAATTTCGTCCTTCTTGTAATTTGTGTTTTCTGGCTGTCAAGGCATACAGACTTCGTAACTTATCAGTAAAGCTTCTATTGGACATTATTGCCTGAAAAAAAAACCCCACAAGATAATAATAAATCTTGGTATATAAATGAAATCTATATTCTTTGTCTCAGGTAAGAAAATGTTAGTCACAAAGTGATTGGAACCCCTCTATTACATTGGCCTCAGTCTTCGCATACACCCAATAGGTACCAAACCGCTTGGTAATTTTGATGTTCTAATTACCAAATTTGCCATTGTTTTTCAGACTTACAAAACTGAAATAAATGAAATGAAATGGAGGTTAATGTCCTATGTTCTGCTCGGACTGGACTAATGAAGATTAGCATATGGCATACAGCTAGTGTGCTATGAGGGTAATACGGCCTACTCTTACATTGAATTCCAACTGCCAAGGGATCTTTTTGGTGCACACCAATGCATACACAAGACTTTGGTTTTTTGCCCCATCTAAACCACTAGACAGCTGTCCTTGTTAGGTCCTCCATATTGCACCACTGACAAGGGGAAACCAAGCTGGAAAATCTTAACACCACATCATTTAGAGTTTTTGAGGTTAAAAGAATATTTGCTGATAGTTACAACTTACTTGTCTTCTATGGCTATCTAATGCTAAGATACCTATCAATGTACAGGTTTTGGTGAAGATGTGACCTTTCTCACGATATATTGTCAACAACTCCAGTAAATTACTGATAGAATCTTTTACATTATACACATAGTCTCTTGTCTTATCATACTGTAAAATAATATAACATTTTATAAGCACCATACAGTAATAAAATTATATAACAACAATCTATTAAAAGCAGATCCTAATTAGTTTCGTTTTTTATAGTTCAAATTTTCGTTTTACTTCAAGTGACTGCCATGCAAGATAGTATTTTAGTACACGAAGTGGCCATTTTTTCGGCCAGTTTCAGCAAGATTTTCACGAAATTTGAACTAAACCGACATTAGGTTGCAACACTGATATATTTAAACGCTTCTTAAAATCGGATAAAAATTGTAACCTCCACAAGCTAAAAATGCGATTTTTGTAAATCAGGGGCCATAATCCCGGAAGTTACATTGTGATATGCTTGAATATCGAAAGGAACCAAGATCTTTTGGATATAAACATATATTTTAAGTTTTATCAAAATCGGATAAAAATTGTGACCTCCACAGGATTCACAACCTTGATATTACATACTTTTAACACTATTTGCGTTCAGGGAGCGACCATTTTGTCTGGCAGTTTCGATTCGATTTTCATGATATTCAAACTCAACCATCATTATGGTGTAACAGTGATATATTCAAACTTTTTCTTTTTAAATCTGATAAAAATTGTGACCTCTATTAAGACAACAAGCTAAAAACGCGATTTTTTGTACAATCCGGGAAGTTACTGTCCAATATGCGCGAATATCGTAAGGAAACAAGATCTTTGGATTATAACCATACATTTCAAGTTTCATCAAAATCTGATAAAAATTGTGACCTCTAGAGTGTCAACAAATAAATTGTGGACAGACGGAATGGGACGACAATAAACGTCCCACATGAAAATGTGGGTGTATAAAAAAATAAACCCACCTTAGCCAAGTTTAATAGAATATTGATGGAATATTTGATGACGTCCATATGTGGTAAACTTCTATTTAATGATCTCATGAGACGATAAATAACACAAACAGCATTGACTTCTACCATTCTCTCACAACATCGTGGTGATAATCTTGTTACCACATCTAAAATAATTTATTATTGAAGTTTAAATGAAAACAAGTCAGATTTATCATGTATTTCTCAAAAATTAAACATAGATGGTGTCTTGTAAGGCCCCTTAATACATACGTCCCTAACAGTAGCAAAAGACACCTACATTAGTTCCAGACGCCAAAGACTGCCTTTCAATCCAGACTTTTCGCGTATTTCATGAATATAACTGATTAGAAATTACAGTAAAAACAGAAACCATTGAATGTACATGAATATCAGTTTCTATACATTCATATTACATTATTATATGCGTTGCTGCCCATTTGTGTTCATTTCTAGGTGCCAAAGAATAGCAATTTAGCTCCTTTAAATATTATTACAAGAACTCTTGAGCTGAATCACGTTGACAAGATGTCATAAATTGAATTTGAAAATGGTGTGTAACTATGATTTACGATAGAAATATTTCATTAATCCTACTGTTTACACAAAAAAATAGGATCATTTCGCTACCTGTGTGCATATTGTCATTCAATCATCGATTTCTTATATATAATGAGGAGACGCACCTCCATTCCTAAGAAATAGGTTATGTGAAATTACTGCACATAGGAGATGTTCAAAATAAAGCAAAACACCAAAATCTATTATTAATGAAGATACAAAGGTTTTTCTAGTCCTTTTTTTTTTTTTTTTTTAACTAATTAACAACATAAAATCGTTAAAATCATGACCAACTATTTCATAAGCAAAGGTTAGTCTATAGAATACCTAAATGCATAACAGCTTCTAATATGTAAGACATATCTTTATATTTGAGTAAATAATCTAATGCTGATGCTGTTCTATTTCCTAGTTTATTCTCTTCACATGCAGAGTCATTAGCTTTATTAATTCTTTTTCTCATTTCAGCCATTTTCTTTGTGTGCGTCTTTTTTCTTAACATATATCCCTTCCATAACGCCTAGAATAAAAAATGTATAAATTAAACAAGTTCAAATAATCGGCAACATGTGGAAGAACATGGTCAGAATTTATATTTTTCAGCAATTCTCTATCGACTGCAGGTTTCAAATTGGAATATCACCATATTTTATTATGATCTCCAAAAACCTATTACAAAATATTATCTTATAAATCCACAAATAAATTATCCTCAAAATCAAGATGCAACCTTTCGTTTCATTATGTAAAGAATAGAAGATTATAAAATATTATCTGATTTCTAGTTTAAGTGCACACATATAAAATTTTTATTTGCAAACCAATGATAGAGAGAGAGAGAGAGAGAGAGAAATGGGGTTTAATGCCACTCGACACAGACAAGGTCATTTCGGGACTAACATATGGTTTAATTTTATTTCAATAATTTGCCTGCGCATAGGGGTCTTTAGCAGTGGGAGGAAACCGGAGGACCCAGAGAAAACCCACGAGGTTGGACAGGCAACCCTACTCCTTGTCACGTACAACCAGAGATTCGAAACCACGCCTGTTGACTCAATGACAGGCCTCGTGATACAGCGCGAACGTGCTAACCATTCAGCCATCCACCTCCCCCCCCCCCAAAACCAATGAAACCTATACACACAGTACAGGTAAGTAAATTGTTTTATTTGCAAGGATTGTTTTACCTTGAAATGGATTTGCTTGAAATTGAAATGCCAGTTGATTTACATGTCATATAAATTTATAAATGGTACCTGTATTTTTGTGGCACTCTGTGCTTGTTTTTGCAGACAATGTTTTATCAGCCATTGTTTAACAGATCTCTGTAATATACTGGCAGCCTCATGTCGTCTTTTTAGCCATTGTCTCACACCATTTTGCATTTTGGTAATGACAGTTTTAAATTTCAAATATTGATCTCTTTCTCTGTGTGCTCGGTAACTTCTCTGTAAAGTACAAGAACAGATTTTATTTTATTAAGATGTATTCCTTTCAAATATGGCTGTTAAATGTCACTACATGTATTTGTTACTTTAATACCAAGAAAGTAACCCTTTAGTTTGTGTTTCGTTTGATGCCATCTGCTTTATACAAATGGCAGACATTTTACTGGTTGACAGATTGTAATACTTATTTATTTTTGGCTTTGACATAATGTTTTTTCTTCTATTTCTTGTTACAAACTGCCCAAAGGCAAAATTATCCTAAAAAGAGGACACAGTTAAATTTCAAGTGGATTGTGTTCATGATGAGAGATCAAGGACAATATCAATTTTGAGAAGTATTTATTTCGCTTCCATAAGAAAATAAAAGGTTTATTTAGTGTGTGTATGACAGATGTGAAACAGTAAATTTCCACATTACCAAAATAGTATACTAAATTTGGATGGATATGGCAGCCATTCACAACCGAGTTCTATTCTTGAAGAAGATGGTTATATGTGTGCAGAATGGCATTAATTATACTTTCTTACATTTTACAAGTATGTACAGCCAGCAAGCTGCTTCACTATTATTGTACACAAACCTGTATAAAGAGTACAGAAGATATATTTTGTCTTGCTCTGTTTAATATTAGGTGTCTTCTATAACACCTCTGTATTCTAATAGTTGCCATATGATATCTAACTCTCTCACACAGATGTAAAATATAATTCTTTCTCTTTTCCAGGGTAGCCTGGAAAATTAAAACAAAAACAAAAAATCACCAATGAACGAATGAATTTATATTAATTTCCAAAGCACTGTCACATTAAATATACAAAATGCCTCATTTTCTGTGAAGAGTCTATGATGAAGTATCTAATTAATATATTCTTTTGAGATCCAATATGGAATAAATTTTATGTAATTTCCTTCCTATAGCGAATCAAAAATAAATGCTAACATTGCCGACACAAATTTGAATGCGCAGGTAATACTAAAATGTGGGTGCCAATTACATGTATGTGTTTTTATATTGAGAGCACTTTCAGTCGATAATTCCATCCCCACCCAAGTTTTAATCTCCTATAAGTCTAACCCAGATGTATTTTGAGATACTCTGGGCTGATCATTGACTACAGATGATTGTATGTATATGTACGCTTGCTCACAGAAAATAAGACAGCAAGAACGTAGTGGTTGTGTGTTAGTTTGTTATTATTCTCAATCATATTTCAATGTCTGGATTAATAAATAAAATTGTTACCTGGGCAACTTTTTGTCTGTAACATCTATAATATTTCTGTATGAATACAGCAGCTAAATGTCTCTGTCTTTGTGAGTAAACACATCGCCATGCTCTCTGTATCAAAATAATGGACGTCAACTTTTTAACGTAGCACTTTCGTTGAATATAACCTCGGAATAATGTTTGTATTTTTGTCACAGCATGATGTTGCCTCACAAGTTTCCGTTGCATAAGTTTATGGAATGATTTTTGAATAATTAGAGCAGAGCAGTGTCTTTGTGTGAAAGCTCTTTTCAGTTTTTTCACAAACAAATATGTCTTTAAAGCTTTAATAATTACACAGACGGAAAGCTTCATGTGATATAAATATCTACGAATTAAAAAGCCTCGAACACAAGCTTGAACAATTATAACTTTTGAACGATGTACACAATAATTTTGTCTTTGTTTTGCACTCTTATACCAAGACTGAATAATGGTGGCAGCATTTTTAATTTTTCTAGTCTTTTCTAACTTACATAAACGATACCAATTTTGGATCTTAACACAAGCCATTTTCTTTTGAAGAAATTTGGCTCTAATTTGTCTACATAGTCTGTTTGAACGATAATAATCTTGAAGCACTAACGTAGCACATTTTAATCGTAGGTATTTTTCCCTTTGAATCCAGCCCCGTACAACGGCTTGCAGTTTTATACAGTTTTTAATACGAAGAGCACAATATTTTCGTGTTGCAAAACCACGGAATGCAGCTTGAATGGTGATCACTGCACCACAGGTCATAAGATATCTTCTCCGAAATTTCTTAGCTAAAAGAGTAGCTCTCCACTTTCTTTGAATAATGATGGTAGCAATTTTTAATTTCTTGTACTTTTGACAACTTCTGAAGCCACGGTAATGAGCCTGAATATGCACAACAGCTTTACGAATTCTGTTGTAATGTTTTTGAGCTAACCATCCTTTCACATGAGCCTGGATTTTGGTAGCACTGATTTCTCCTTTCTTCTTTTGACAATCTTTGTAACTTCTCCAGTAGTGTTGAATAATTGTTGCAGACATTTCCTGTTTTAATTTCTCTTCTTTCAAGGTCTTCAGTTGTTTATAATTTCTATAATAATTCTGGATAGTTTTGCATGCTTTTTGTTTTTCTAAGAAATGTTTTCTTGCTGCAAAAGATCTCCAAGATGACACAATTGTAATGGCAGCTTTCCGTTTCAGAAGATAATTTTGACGAATTACTTTTCCAAGAAACACAGACTGCAGGTACACTGTGGTTGAACGAATTTTTAGATACATATCTCTACATTTCTTAACCTCCATTTTATTTCTGTACATCTGCTGAGTACAAACTGCAGCTGCTTTTAATTTAAGGAACTGTTTTCTTTGAACATATCCTCTCCATAGTGACTGTATTCTAATGACTGCATGACGTTTGTGAAGATACTGTTGACAAACTTTTAAACCACGGAATCGAGTTTGGATACAAATGGCAGCTTTTTGCATCTGAAGAAAATTAGTCCTCTCTAGTTTAGCTATCTGATTGTTCCTGTATAATCTTTGCAATTGGATTGTTGTTAATTTTAATTTGTGATATTTCTTTTGCTGTTTATGTTTTCGATACCATTTTTGAATAAATATAACTGCTTGCCTGACTTTACAATAATATTTTTTCTGAATGTAGCATCTTAAATGTTTTTGAATAGTGATAGTTTTTTTTCTTATGTTGAGAAAATGTTTTCTCTCTCTTTTAGCTGCTAAGCATCTCCTAAAGACATCCTGAAGATAAACAATTGCAGCTTGGTATTTTGAATATTCTTTTATCGCCAAGTATCCTCGGAATTTGGATTGAATTTTAATGGCCGCCTTTTGTCTCTTCTGTAAATCTTTTCTATCAATATATCCCCGGAAATATTTTTGGATTGTTACCACTGCTGATTTATTTCTCAAGTAATCTGCTCGAGTTTTTCTGCCAGTGACATTTTTTCTATACAATCGCTGCATTGAAATGGTTGTCTGTCTTATTTCTTTGTATTGTTGCATCTGGTGGTGAGCTTTGTAATGAGATTGGATTTTTGTAGCAGCTTCATTTAGATTTTGTTGAAGAAGTCTAGATTTGTGACCTCTGAAGTAGGATTGGATGGTAATGACAGCTTTCTTCTGATTTAGGAATTCTGCTCTCTGCTTTTTACCAATTTGATTTGCTCTGACTCGACTTTGTAAAGCTAAAGTTGTCTTTTTCATTTCAAGGTACATGCTGTAGATACTCTTCATTCTTGCAATACTCTGAATTTTTATCACTGCATTTCTGATTTTCAGATAACTCTGCTTTGCTTTGAGAGCTCTAAAGCAAGACTGAAGTTTTAAAGTGGCTGATTGTACATTTAGATAATCCTGTCTGGCTGATTGACCTTGAAGTAAGGCTCGGAATCTTGACTGAAGTAAAATCACAGCACATCTCTTTTGACTATACTTAAATGAAGCTTGCTGTTGTCGGATAAAGCTCTGGATTTTTATTGCAGCTTTTTTCTTTTGATTGTACTTCTTTTGTTCTTGTATAGATCTCCAGTGACTTTGTATCTTCGTAGCAGCTTTATTTTGAAGAAGAATTTGTTGTTTGGAGTGTTTGTTTTGTAAATATAATTGTACATGATGCTGTAAAATAACAGCTGCAGCCTTATACCTAAGATACTTTTGTCTGGCTTGTTTCATTTTGAAGAACGACTGAATCTCAACGATTGCTTTATTTATCTTACGTTGATTAACTCTGGATTGACGACCTCTGTAGTAGGACTGGATTGTAATGGCCGCTTTCTTCTGATTTAGGAATTCTCTTCTTTGCTTTCTACTAAGTTGATTAGCCCTGACCCTATGCTGTAAAGCTAAAATTGTTTTCATTATTTCTAGGTACTTGCTTCGACTGCTGTTCATTCTTGCAATGCTTTGGATTTTTACCACAGCATTTTTGATTTTCTGGTAATTCTTCCTTTCCAGGAGAGCTCTGAAGTGGGATTGAAGTTTTAAAGTTGCCGATTGTACATTTTGATAATCTCGTCTGGCGGACTCACCTTTGCAGACAGCTCTGTATCTCTGCTGGATCAAAATTATAGCACTGCGCTTTTTAATATATTGCGCAGAAGCCTGTTTTTGACGGACAACATTCTGAATTTTTATTGCTGCTATTTTCATTTGATTGTATGACCTCTGTTTGAGGATTGATCTCCAACGACTCTGTATTTTAGTAGCAGCTTCAGTATGAAGGATAAGTTCATCCTGAGAATGTTTATTTTGTAAGTACAAACGCATGTGATTTTGTACGATAACTACGACTGCCTTATATTTTAGAAAGTTCTTTCTTGCTTGTGTCATTTTTACATAAGACTGGATCTTTACAGCAGACTGATTTCTGTTTTGGAGCTTTCTACGAATTAAATATCCTCTTACAAGTTTCTGAATTATTGTGACAGCAGCAATCCTATGGTTAAGTCTTTCCTGTTTTTTCTGTCTCCACCATTTTTGAATACAAATGCAAGACGCTGTCAGTTTTTGTTGTTCAGAATGAAGTAGGCACAAGTATCTGTATTTTCTATAGCCTCTTTGAATGGAAATTGAGGCAAATTTCATGGCCAAAAACTTGGTGCGATATTTATTGCAACGGAACAAGGCTTGAATCTTTACAATTCTGCCCTGTTCTTTTAGGTAGCTAATTCGTTGTTGATAACCACGCACATTCTTCTGAATCATGACGGCAGCTTTTATTTGTTTATTTTTTTTACATTTCAACCAATTCCGACAAGCTCTCTGAAGGGTAACAGTCGCTGATCGCTTTTGCAGAAAGTTATTTCTATCCTTCATCATTTTCTTGTAACCATGGTAATAGTTTTGAATCATGGAAGCAGCCGACTTTTGCTTATGGAGTTCTTTCCTGATCCTGTGACCTCGGTAAAACGACTGTATGTACACTGCAGATAACTTCATGGATGAATATTTTCGTCTTATAACACAGGTTTCTAGTGCTCTCTGAAATAAAATAAAAAGAATTAGATTGAAAGTATAGGAAAACAATGTAAACACTTTACCTAGGTAATTCTGAGGCTTAATATTATAGAAGTACAATATTAATTACTATTGATATTACGAGATAAATATAAATTTTACAAAAAAATTTGGTGATATCTATAGCAGTTAACTAAGCGACAAAGTACTGGTATATAATCTGGTTCTCAGATATCCCCATGTTTGAGATATTTACTTATTCAGTCGACGCATGCGTTGTAGCCCGAAATCCTCCCTTTCACTCGATTGTCACTATTTTGGGGATTGAGAGAATTCAATTCCGGAATGTTCAATCGAGTTCCCCCAATATTTTGTAACAAAGGCCCATAACTCTGAAAGCCAACATTTGGAAATCATTTGAATATCAATAGCAACTTCATTTTTAACCAGCAGCTGCCAGGCAGGATACGCCCACATTTTGCAAGACATGGATAGAGAACAAACTAAAAATAAGAACAATTTTTTTGTACAATCAGGGGCAATTTTTTGGATATGTGTGATTGTTAAAAGGAACCAAGATCATTATGATAAAAACATATATTTAAAGTTTCATCCAAATCGGATAAAAACTGTGGCCTCTAGAGGGTCCAGAACCTAAATATACCATATTTTACACTATTTACGTTCAAGAGACGGCCATTATGTCCGTCCGTTTTAGTCCAATTTTCACGAAATTCAAACTCAACGTTCATTACGGTGTAACGGTGATATAATCAAACGGTTTTTAAAATCAGATAATAATTGTGACCTCCTGAGGGACCACAAGCTAAAAAAAGGTGATTTTCCATATAATCAGGGGTCATAAATTCAGGAAGTTACGATCTGATATGCGCAAATATCAAAAGGATTCAAGATCTTTGGGTTATAAACATGCATTTCAAGTTTCATCAAAATAGGATTAAAATTGTGACCTCTACAGGGTCCACAACCTTGATATACCATATTTTTTTACACTATTCGCGTACACGCAGAAGCCATTTTTGGTCCAATTTCACGAAATTCGAACTCAACCTTTTTTACGGTGTAACGGTGATAAAATCAAACGTTTTTTTTAAATTGGATAATAATTGTGACCTCCAGAGGGACCACAAGCTAAAAAAGGCGATTTTTCGTACAATCAGGGGCAATAATTCAGGAAGTTACTATCCGATATGCGCAAATATCTAAAGGAACCAGGATCTGTGGGTTATAAACATGCATTTCAAGTTTCATCAAAATCAGTTTAAAATTGTGACCTCTATAGGGTCCACAAGCTAAAAACGTGATTTTTTGTACAATCAGGGGCCATAATCCAAGAAGTTTCGATCTGATACATGCCAATATCAAAAGCAACTAAGATCTTTTGGAGATAAACCTATATTTCAAGTTTCATCAAAATCGGATAAGAATTGTGACCTGTAGAGAGTCCACAAACAATTGTGGACGGACGGACAGGGGCAAAGACAATATATGTCCACATGAAAATGTGGGCGTATAAAAATTGTAATCTCTTGAGTGTTAAAAGGATATTGTGGAAAGACTGATGCACCAATAAACAGGGATAAAATAAAAAGTGGGCGTATATCAAAAGGGAGGAATATTACACAACAAAATTACAATTGTGTTTCCTTTATTTTTTTAATTGTTATGTAACCTATTTTCTACCACCCTATATTTCTGTGAGGTTGTGCGTGCATCTATTGTAATTTACAATATTACAATGAATAAATCTTTTACAATAGCTACTGGTGGATTATGTATTTATAATTACAGTTCATATAGTAGTATTAGTACCTTTATTTTAAGACAGGCTTTAATACGCTTCTCATCCTCAATCTTTTGTTTCATAATAACTACAGCTCTCCTGGCTTTACAACCTCTCCATAAAGCCTGTAATCTAACAACTTTCCCAATAATAACCTTCATTTTCTTTCTATTTCTATACTCTCTATAGGCTGCCTGAATAGTTTGAGCAGCCTTTTCTTGTTTCTATAATAGAATTTTAATTCATGACAAAGACTTAAAGATATTTCAGGAATTTTCAAAGACCAATACTGATATTAAATGACACAATGGTGATCTAATGTGGTCACATGTCCATAAATGTGACGTCTACAAAACATTTCCAACAACATCATTTTGACTGTGATCTTGAGCTTACATTGATCCTGAATAACAAGACATTAATTAACACGGTAACATTTAATCTCGTGTATCTAGCACTGATTTCTTTCACATTCGTTTAATATCAAATCTTTGTTTAAAAATTAGTAAAAATGATTTAAAATCACCCCAAATCATCTAATTTGTACTTGTGTCCAGTTTAAAGTACAAATTAGATGATTTTTGGTGATTTTCCTTCTGTATCAGTATCTGGTTTACAGGTAAAACCGTGGTATTGTTTCGACAGAAACAAATATTAATTAGGATGAATGGTCTATACAGTATCAAAGGTCACATAGAGATTTGTGTACATCATGTTGAATGATTGAGAAGAAATGTGACTATAATCTTTCGTTGAAATTATGCAGAATGATTTTTTTTTAACTGGTGAATTGAGACATGACCCATAAGTCATTAAGTGTATATATGAGCAGCTCAATAACTAGTTTTCCAGAAACACAATTTGAGGATATTTTATACTGACCAATAGGCATTGCAGTCCAAGAGAAGATAAGCTGGGCTATTAAGACCCGTAAAAGCCCCAAATAATTAAACAATTTAATTGCACAACACCTAAATAGTTAATGTTTAATGACCTCTTGATGTTTGATGGTGTGTGATAACCAATATCTTCTCCAAGCATTCTGTATAATTCTAGCTGCTCTTGATTCTTCTCTTATATCTAATAAACGGCTACAGAGATGAGATACGTAAGTCATAACAATCTTTTCATCAGGTATGGTATTAGACATATCAGCTGCTTTTAACATCAACGGAATACCCCCTAATCCAGAAACCTGTACAAAAGAGAATTTAAGAGAAATGGCGTTTCTTAGTGAACCAAGTTATTTTGGGATTAACATACGGTAACTTATTCTATTTAATTAATTAAAAAGATACCAAATTGCATTAGCAGGAGGAATAAGAGACTGTACTCTTAGTGACGTGCTCAAGTCATTTTTCTCTGGAAAATTATTCATGTCAATATATTTGTAGACATACGTTTGTTTATAATTTGTTTTACCAGTTTATATCACTGCCGCACAAACAAACTACATGTATTATTATGCTTAGTTTGGTAACACATGATGCTAATGCATCAATATAATAAATATCTAGAACATAAATATTAAATGTTCATGATTAACTATTTTTTAAGAGAAATCTAAAATATATCAGTGTACCTTCTCATACAAGAGCTTGAAATTGTCTTTTTCATTATTTAAGAACTGCTCAAACATTTCAGGTTTTTCAAGATCTGAAATTTATAAGGACATACAAGTTTTAATCAATTAAAATCTTGTCAACACCATACTTTGATTTTAATATTGCCATGCCTTCCAATATTATAACTTAAGCAGAGTAGATTCTGCTAAGTTTCAGTTGCTTGATGCAAGTTGTATATCAGTCTGTAAATACCAATTCAATCATGAACTTGTTTTTGGTACTAAAATGGTTTTATCTTAAACATATTGTATTACTTTAGATAAAACGAACTGGATACAAGTAACAAAAAATCTAAAAAGAGTCCTGTACTAAAATGATTTGATCATAGAAATAGATTTAAATAAATATTACCAGAATGAGGTGTTTGACTCCAATCAAAACTAGCATCTGAATCAAATTCTTCTTCTTCCTTAGTTTCCATTTCTTCCATGTAACTTAATGTGGTTTGTTTCTTGATAAGATCTTGTGGTAATAAGGTAGGATAATAATGGTGTATTAAATAACACAGGGCACGACCATCAGAAAATGATACACTGAAGTTCTCGATCTATAAAAATACATTCTTTTACTAATTAGGTAAAGATTGGTTGCCAGACAAGGAAACATACACCCACAGCAGCTAAGTCCTCTGGGCAGTGAACAAGTGTTGTCACTTTTTTTTTTATCTTTTGTCAGAAATGAGAATATTTACAACTCATGAAAATCTGATTACAAGTAATATAACCCATGAAATAATTATCAGAAAACATTAGAATTTGTTTCGATTGTTTGTCTCATGACCTTAAACAATTTATTATTATTATTATTGTTATTATTACAGGATATTTATTGTGCACCCTTTCATATAACATGTTCAGGTGTACTTTACAAAGTGACAACATGAAGAAACAATAAGATTATGGACATGTTAACAGTTGTATACAGAGTCAGTTAAAAGCCTGAATAAATAAATGTGTTTAAGTCGTTTTTTAAAAGAATATAGAGATGTACAACATCTTAAACTAAATGGCAGATTATTCCATAAAACAGGTGCTTGAAAACTACATGTAAAATAGCGCTGACCATAAGAGAATAGTTGAGCAGTTTTGAGCTTTAAAAGTAGTTTATCTGATACACGTAATGTCCGGCCAGGTGTATAAAGTTATAAATGATCAGAGAGGTAAACAGGAGCTAAATTATTTAAACATTTAAAAGTAAGTAATAAAATCTTAAAATCAATTTGATATTTAACAGGTAACCAGTGTAAATTATATAAAACAGGAATTATGTGATCGCATTTCTTAGTTAAAGTAACAAGTCTAGCTGCAGTATTCTGTACTTTTTGTAATTTATCTATAAGATTTAAAGGCGAATCATCTAAAAGTGAATTAACGTTATCTAATCAAGAGTGATCAGAGAATTAACAAGTGACTTAGTGGCATCTACAGTTACAATTTTACGTATTTTACCTATATTTCTGATATTAAAATAACACAATTTACAAATATTATTTACTTGAGCTCCCATATTTTTAGCATAAAACTATCAAAGATTGCGCCAATATTACGGGCAGAATAAGATGAACAAATATCACAATTACCAATTACAACAGGGAGGTTCCTTTGACATCCATTTTCTAATTTCACTAATACAGTTCTCAAGTTGCAATTTTGATAAATTGAAAGAAGATGGACAATTAGTTGTAAATGAAATATATAAATGAGTATCATTGGCATACAAATGAAAGCTGAGACCATATTTTCTGACAATATCACCTAATAGTGATGTATAAAGGGTAAATAAAATAGGACCAAGAACAGAACCTTGAGGAACCCCAGATGATAAAACAGATTTATATTAACTTTAGCCTCTAGAGCGTCAACAAGATTTTTCAAATAGGTCAAGGGCCATAACTCTGGCAGTAATTATAGAAAATTGTTCAAAATCAAAAGGCTTCTGCATCTCATGAATTTATTTTAAACACAGTGAATAAATTTAAAGTCAATCAGATATTAGCAGCCAGTAACTATCGGAAATCATTGAAAATCAATGTTTCTTCGGCTCATGACCTTAAACACTGTGTATAAATTTAAAGTCAATCGGATATTAACTTTAGCCTCTAGAGCATCCACAAGATTTTTCAAAGTTATTAAGGGTCATAACTCTGGCAGTAATTATCGGAAATCGTTGAAAATCAATAGGCTTCTTCGTCTCATGACCTTAAACACTGTGTATAAATTTAAAGTCAATCGGATATATTAACTTTAGCCTCTAGAGCCTATATTTGAAGGGGTATTATTCAAGAGCTAAATCTGACTATTGCACCTCTCTATATAAATTATCAATTAGACATTATTAACATGACAAGAACAAAGAGCTAGTTCTCTAGTGCTCATATTAAAGAATAATTCTATTTTCAAAGAATAATCTGTACGTTTAAGATTCATATTTAATGTTGATCGCATAACACATTGTAAAATATTACCTTTATTCCATAATGTAAGCAGACAAGACGACACCATTTTAACAGCAGTGTCAATCTTTCATTTTTTAATACGTCTGCTTCTCCAGAATCACGACGGGCTGCAAATAAAATCAAATATATGTGGATACAATATAAAAAAGAAAGATAGGTTGCCAGGCAATGAAACATACGCCCACAACAGCTAAAGCGGCCGAGCAGTCAACAGGGGTGTTGCATATTTAATTTTCATCCTTTGAGGGTTCACAAGGTGATACAAACTAAAACAAGGGCCTTAACCCTGGAAGTAAAATACAACAAGCGGTTGCCAGGCACGATATTCCCATATTTTGCAAGAGAAAGATAGAGAACAAGCTAAAAACAAGCAAACAGTGAGGGTGATGTCCCCGCTGAAACCCCAAAATAAATAGATGACACATTAATTAATTGCACATTTATTTTTTTCAAGCAATCAAACTGATTATCAACTATACACCAAGTTTCATCACTCTCTATCAGATAGAATTAAAGCTATCTTGTCACAAAGCATCGACCAATGAAATTTCTTAGCTCTGCTTAGCTTTAGCTCGAATGTTAATCATTGAACTCAGTCAAAACATTCACCTAATGAACATCTACATCAAGATTAAACATTCTACCTTATTTAAAAGCAGAGTTGCTATGTTCCAAAGTCTTGACCATTCAAATTGCTTATTGCGCCTTAGCCTAAGCAGAAAATTCTCATCATCGAACTTAGTCAAGGTAATGATATAATGTATCTATACTCGGAGTTTCACCACTCTCACTTAATTAAAACCAAAGTTATCATGTCCCAAAGCATCACCCAATCAGATTGCTTATCTCTGCTTACCGTAAGCAGACAATGTTTATCATCGAACTCCATCAAGAAATTCACCTAATGAACGCCTACACCAAGTTTTAACATTCTAGCTCAATTAGAATGTGAGTTATTGTGTTCCAAAGTCTCGGCAGTTTGGGTCATATTTTCACAAAATTCTAATTCAAACTTCATTGATGTGAAATGGTGATAAATTTAAACGTTTATTAAAATTGAATACAAATTGTGACTTCTATTCTAACAGGTCCACAAGCTAAAAATGCAATTTTTCGAATAATCAGGGACCATAATACAGAAAGATATGTTTGGATATGCATGATTATCAAAAGGAACCAAGATCTTTGTGATATGAACATAATTTTAAGTTTATCAAATTCAGACCAAAATTGTGGCATCTAGAGGGTCCACCATATACCATATTTTTACACTATTTGCATATGAGGGGCGGTCATTTTGTTCCGATTTTCACGAAATTCGAACTCAATCTACAATACGGTGTAACGGTGATATGTTCTGACGATTTTTTAAATCGGATAATAATTGTGACCTCTAGAGAGACAAAAGTTAAAAACTCGAAATTTTGTACAATCAGGAGGAATAATTCGGGAAGTTACAATCCGATATGCACAAATATCGAAAGGAACCAAGATCTTTGGGTAATAAACATACATTTCAAGTTTCATCAAAGTCAGATGAAAATTGTGACCTCTAGAGTGTCCCCAAGCTAAAAGCGTGATTTTTCAAACAATCAGGGGCCATAATCCATGAAGTTATGGTCCGATAAAATAACACAGGACACATACCAGTCTGACCGTTTCTTGGATTCGATGGAAATCCATGCAGGCATAACTGGGAAAATTCAACTTTTGTTGTCATCAGCACGTTTTATTATCATGCTGTTGGGCCAATTTTGGAACATAATTGGTAAATAAAGATGGTATTTTTTTGGTGATTAGTGTGTAGTTTACCACCCCAAATAATAAAAAATGTCATATCTTAGGAAAAAAAACTTACAGTGCTAGCTTTAAAATGTGCTTTTTAGACTGCTCAACGCCCATAAGTCATATATGATAATGGAATAAAAAAATTTGAAATTCCCGCGAATGCAAAGACAATAAATTTCGAAAGCATGCTTTTACCTTGGTTATCAACATGCAATTTTAATAATTTCTGCATGCTAATTTTTACACGCAATGTCTTTTCCAGGATTGCAATTTCGGACTTGAGTTGTTCAATATCTATTAATACATCAACCTAAAAGATCAATAAAAAAAGATTATCAAAACAATGAAAAGTGAAACCTTTTAAACTTATTACCTCAAGATATTAAGTGTTTCCTTCACTTGGTTCAGTAACAGCTACATGTATACAATAAAAGCGTAACTGATGTGCATTCACATGACTGCACTAGTTTCTACCCTTGAATGATGATCTGCACTAACAAATAAGTAAACACAAAAGATATTGTATTAAATGACTATATGTTACTCTTATCTGTGATTTTCAATGACATGCTATATAGAGGCCAGAAAATAGAAGCTATATTAGCAATGTCCAAAATTTTCTTATACTTGACCATGTCGATAACCTCCCTAGGCACAGTTTTCGTGGCTTACTTAGTAACTGCTTAAAGGGCTTTACTTGCTATTGTAATCATCCAGTGCTCTGTATTACCTGGTTATTTTACCTGTGTTTTTGATGGTGATATACTCTTATCTAAAATCAGGGATTATAGGATGTTCGAAGGGGCGGGGATCCTCACCTTCCCCATTCTTTTGTTTCTGTGGAAATAACCATTACTATTTCAAGCAATTGTGGTTAAAAACAAATTTAAATGTAAGGGTTAGGTTTTCTAAAAAAAAAAATAATCTACCTGGAAATGAAATATAATATGCCATAATAAACTCAGCGTCTTTTCTTTATGTCCATCAACTATATCCCGAGCATTCAGCTTAGTTTCTGGAAAACAATTTTTTTCTTTTTACAAAATACTTTATCACCTTAGTATGTGTTGTGATGTGCATATGATATTATACTTGGACAAAATTAGGCTCTTGTTCATTTTGTTCATAGAAACTGTAACATGGGATCAATATTAAAATTCCCATTTTTTATAAACATTTCAGACTTGATTCTCTCAAGTATAACTAAAGCATGTCAATCGTGAAAATTTGCAAGATTTAATAATTTAGACATTTGTTGTAGAAATAGCAATATGAAAAACTATTTGGTAGTCTGGTCCCTATTCAAGCAGGACAACTCTTTCTTAAATGCTGACACAATCTAAAATAAGACAAGAGAATTGGATAATGCCTTTAGTGGTGACTGCCTACACATCTCAAAGCTTTTTAAAGAAAACTTGAAGTCGCCAGATTGATTTTATGCTTTAGCAAAAATTAGTTTTGTAGTCTAAGGGGAGATAATATGGTTATAAGGAAAGTGAATGCACAGTTACCCCCGTCCCCCTGTTTATATTCAGACATTTTTACATGTGAAGCACAAATATTTTCTAACATTTATGAATATTTCCAGTCCCAATGGATAGCCCATCTTGCTGGATTTCAGACGCTATTAGTACATTAAAATAGAGTTACCTAGTAATGACACATCCAAGCCTCTCTTAGTCAGTTCTTTGAAAACAACCTCTACATTATGTATTTTCTGTAGTCGACTGATTGCTGGTGCTCGTAATCTTGACATCAGACTCCAATCATTGCTTAAAAACTCCATTACTCGTCTACAAATTTAAACACAATTCTTACTACACATAATATTCATATACTATACTATTTTTGGTATTAAGCTAATTCAATTCCGGAAAGTTCAATCAATCAAGTATCCCCATAGAGTCTCTGAGATATTAAACAGAAAAATTTAAGTAGGATTTTCAAGACAACTCAAAAATAACAATTCGCAAATATAAATAAATACAAGCTATTATTCATTTCAAAATCTAAATAAATTTTAATATCATTTGTCTGTTTGAACTAACTTTTTAATGTAGTTTTTATATTGAGTATTTAAGAGCCATGAATCCCGAAGTCTAATTTTGGGGGGTTCATTAAATTTAGATAAACAGAGAACAAAATTTTAACAAGACAAAGAATTAAAAAAAATGTGCTCATATGACTTACGTTAATCTTAATCCATCACGCAAATCAACTCCCAGGGCTGTAACAGCATAGTCAAATTCATCCAACGCTGTCTGGGTATGATTTACAACGTAACCCAGATAAGCTAAATGTCTCGTGATATCTCCTTCTCCTGACAAGAAATCACGTGAAAACTGTACCAGGAAATTCTTACTTGCCTTTTAAAAAACAAAATACAACAAATCAAAGGCGTATCATTCACAGTTTACAAAATCTTACACACATATTTGGGAGTTGAAACAATGATTTTTAACTGTGTGTGCACAGCATGCATTAAAAATATAAATAAAAAAACACACAAGAGGAAAATCAGAGCCGTCATATGGCCCTAGACAATATAAATTGTGTCTTAATAATTCAGAGGTTGATGTCGGGTATGTCAATGATAGGATGCTTATTTCCAGACTTATAGATTCTAATAGGGTGGCTCATTGAGTAGGAGGTCCAGGGTTTAATCCAGGTGTTAGTAGACAAAATTCAATCAGAATTTTCAGGCATGGTTTCCCCATGTCATGATGAAGGGCCAAATCGTTCGATGGGATGAAAATCTGAGGTACCACGTACACATTAGTGAGCACATACAAGTACCCTTGACATGTGGAATTTGTAATAAAAGCAGGCTGTTGTGGTGCTGCTGTCCTGGCTAAAATTTCCCTGCTTTGATATTTTCCAAATGTGAAAGAAATTTGTGCTAAATACACACAATTAATAAACCTACCTTCATATCAGCATTTTTACAAAATAAACATGGGTCATGATCAATCAGACGAGACTGTTTAGCGTGATCTAAGAAATACACTAATAATAAAAACTTCTTTAATGTATGTGATGATATAGCTTCTGCAAAACCTAAAAAACAAAATATGCCGGTTAACCTGTGATAATGCAACAAATTCTATTCTATTGATTGAGACTCATGGACAACAAGAATTTTTAGACAACTCTGAAATTTTTAGTCAAAATAAACAAAACCATTAAATGTTCTGAATTGACAGAAATGCAATCAAGTGACAAGAATCTAGTTCTGTCAGATCTGATAAATGATGTGGTGCCAGTTGAATTGTGACATAATTGAAGAAAGCAATCATGTTTCTGCTGTGACAACTGGAGATGGTTGAATGTATCAATGGTCGATATTCTATGGTTACTTAATTATCAGTGGTGAATCAGCCTGATAAGTTTCAAATCCGGAGCATGTAATTCCAATCCCGAATGTCTAATCAAAGATTTCAAAAATTACTTCAATATGACATACCATCTCTATATAAATGAGGAACAGTAGGGTGGGCATATTCTGATACTATATCTGGATTACTTAATAAACGATACACTATAAATCTTGATAAACCAATAACATCATTATTAGACTGTAATAATATCATTTCACCAAATATAGTCTAAAAATAGAAAGAAATTCAATGTTATTATTTTTATTAAAACAACAATATCACCTCACCAAATAACAAATAAGACAAAATTTTATTATTATTAGACTGTAGTAATATAATCTTACTATTGCCTATTAGTAAATCTTTAATTTTTACTACTAATCTTATGTGACCAAGTAGCACCACTGGCAACACAAAAGCAGTGGTGGTTACAAATCTATATCAAGATAAAACGGCCACAGACACAACAGATAAGACTGGAGTTCAGGAGGTGATTTATAAAGAGATGCAAGCAGTGGCTGTAAAATCTTACCTCTAGTCCAATTCTAAGCCACAGTGGATTATAACATAATAACATATCTAATATTTTCTGTTTAATTCCTGAAAAAAAATATATCAATCCTAAATGACATGTATTTGTGTAATTCTGACAATGATTTGTGATATATTATGAGATCCTTGGCATCAAACAAAACAGAACACTTATCTAGTATAAAACAGGTCATTAGCCAACAAAAGACAGATGATACAAACAGCTTCAAATTTTGTCTCTACTTAGTCAACTTCCAATGCATGGGACTATATTGTCAGAAAACGAATTTTCCAATTCTTAGCACTTTTTGGGAAATAATAAACTTCATTTAGTTCCTGCTAGAAAAAGGCGAAAAATCTAAAAGAGTTGATTATCTATTTTGTTTTTTCAAGAAGTTGCCCTTACAGTCAATATGAATTTACATATGCAAGTCAAAAAATCCCTGCAAAACACAGAATTTTCAAGTTTGATTTTTTGTCACTAACGAAATAAAAAATATGATCTCAAGCATATTTAAAAACTCCTCACAACAATGTACTTGTCATCTTTCTTAGTCCAGTTCTCATTATATAACAAACCTAAATCAGCATGAAGCATTCTATCTTTTCTTACAGCCAATCGTCTACTCTCTACTTCAATCTCTACTTTACGTATGACATGTACCACTGTCTGTGATTGGTAAAGTAAACAAGATGCTCGTCGTAATTTGTTCATTCTTCGTCTTGCAGCATAGGCTCTAATAGATAAAACTTCTTTAGTTGGTGCTAATCTAGTACTACCCTTCATACCATCAACAAACAATTTTCCAGCGTCCACTGAAATAAACAATAAAATTGCAAATAAACAATAACTTCTTTACTCAGAAACCAAGAGTCTTGATTTTCATTAATTTTAGATCTCGTACATCTATCTTTTTAATTCAGGAATAAAGTCAGTTACTGTCATTATGGTGAATTTAATTATTAACTCATTGACTCAAACCAGTTCAGATTAAAATTGTCAAAATGAATATGAATAAATTATTTACAAAAAGAGATACAGAACAAAAGAAAAAAAAAAAATAGTAGATATATTAAAAATATTTTAAACAAAAAGGGTAGTTCTTATGATAAAAATACAATATACAGCAGATTGTTAATACAGAATGACACAACCACTTGGAAATTCTATACAGAAATTACAAAAACTTTGATGATTCTAATTTTATTAATGATCTTGCTAAAATTCCATTTGAACTAGTCGAGTCAATTGATGACCCAAATTCTGCCCTTGATACTTGGTATAACCTTTTTATAGGTGTTTTAGACTGCCATGCTCCGCAAAAGCGAAAAAGAGTAAAAAGATACTATCAACCGAAGTGGTTTAATGAGGAAATAAATAAAGCCCGAAAGTTCAGGGACTTCTTTAAAGCCTCCAAGAGGTGTGACGACTATAGAATATGGAGAAATAAAACCAAAAATCTCATTAATAAAGCCAAAAAAAACTTTATCAAGGACTCTATCGAAAATGAAGAGCAATCTAAAAACATATGGAGATATTTTAGTGACATACAAAATAAACCCAATAATTGCCCTTATCCCAATAGTATTAAATATGGAAAAACAACAGTTAATGATCTAAATGCTATTGCTAATGTGATGAATGATTACTTCACTAATTTAACTGATGACATTAAGCCCCCCTATACACCACTTTCTCAAGAGTGCAAACGAAAGATATCAGATTACGTAAATGATAAGATTCCCCCAAATAACAACTTTTCTATTAATTGTATTACTACCACAGAGGTATTAAAACATTTATTGAGTTTAAATAGTAACAAAGCCATTGGGTGTGATGGTATTGGACCCAAAATTTTAAAATTGTCTGCGTATACAATTTGTAGCAGTTTGACATATATCATTAATCTTTGTATTTCTCAAAACATGTTCCCCAGTGCCCTTAAACTGGCTAAAATTATTCCTATACATAAGAAGGGAGCTAAAGATGATCCGAACAATTATAGGCCAATCTCAATTCTCCCCACAATTTCAAAAATATTCGAAAGGCACTTGAGCACTCAAATTCAAACTTATTTGGAAACCTTCAATGTTCTTTATGCTTACCAATCTGGATTTAGATCAAATCATTCATGTGCTACTGCACTGATCCGAATGACAGATAATTGGCTTGATGCTATCGATAATGGTGCGATGAGTGGTATAGTGTATCTTGATTTTAGCAAAGCATTTGATCTCATTGATCATAAGCTTATTATTGAAAAACTACATCTTTATCGATTTGATAATAATTCACAAATTTTGATTGAATCATATCTTGACTCACGGAAGCAAAAAGTATGTTTAGGATCAATTACCTCCTCAATTACTACAGTCAAATGCGGGGTTCCACAAGGTTCGATCCTGGGTCCTCTCCTATTCCTAATTTTTATAAATGATCTCCCACTCAATATTGAATCAAGTCAGATAGATTTGTTTGCTGATGACAGTACCCTGCATTGTTCACACAAAGATATTTTATCCATCGCCAAAAATCTCCAAAATGATCTCTATTTGGTTGCTGAATGGTGTGAAAACAATGGGATGGTAATCAATCCTTCGAAAACAAAATCAATGCTGATTTCAACAAAACACAAAAGAAATCAGAAAAACCTAACTTTATCTCTCCATGGTGAGAAAATTGAGACGGTTACTACCGCAAAATTACTTGGAATTCAAATTGACCAAGACCTTAATTGGGAAGCACAGATAGCAGATATGTCTAAAAAACTTGCATCAAAAATATTTCTCCTAAATAAGATAAAAGATCATTTACCTTACGAGACAAGAATTTTGTTTTATAACAGTTACATACTACCAATATTTGATTATTGCTCTATTATTTGGGGAAATGCTACCAAAAGTAGATTAGACATTCTTTTAAAATTACAAAAGAGGGCAGCAAGAGCTATTCTTGATGCACCGATTGAAACTCCGTCCACCTCTTTATTTACTAAACTCGGTTGGCTTACCCTTACACAGAGGATTCTTTACAATAAAATTGTCTTATCATTCAAAATTATTACATTTAATACTCCACTTTATCTAAATTTCCATTTTATTGAAAAATCTCTTGTTTCCAAAACGGATATCTTGCTCCGTTCACAGACCAGTAAATCTCTTTTTCTTCAAAAATGCAAAACGGAATCCATGAAACGTACTTTTCATTATTCTGCATGTCTTTTATGGAACAATCTGCCTTTTGACATAAAGATGTGTAAAAATGTTGAAAATTTTAAGATTAAACTGAAAACTCATCTATTTTGCACACTGTAGGAACCATAATATTCAACTGATGACATACTTATTATTTTTAACTTGCAACTGCATTCTATTTTATTTTGTGTGTAATTATAGTGTTCTTCCTATATTCTACTTGTATAATGTATATGTTTTGTAGTTTGGGAGTGACTTATCAAACTTCCCACTTTAAAATGCTATTGCATTTCTAATGATTTTAAATTTATCCTGATATTACATGTATATATGTCTTTGTAGTTTAGGAGGGACCTATGGAAGATTAGTTTTTTTTTGCAAACTAAATATGTTGCCTCATTAAATAAAGTTTTTATTATTATTATTAGGCTTTCACCTTCGGTGAAAGACTATTGTTTTTACTAGGTATTATTATTCTTATTATTTTTTTTTTGGGGGAAGCTATATCTCAGGAACTATAAGAGATAGAGGTCTGAAGTTTGGTTTTCTCCCGTGAAAATGGGTGGTGGCTAGTGCTTAAATGTAAAATGAAATGTGTGCGCATAGCGGAAATGCGTCAAATCTTTAACGTGCACGGAAATTGAAAATCGGCTCTTATTCTCTTAATTCTCAATGGATTCTTCAGATATTTACATTTTTGGATAGCTGGAGACATTTCTTAACCGATAGCAGTTCAAAACTGTGGAATTTAGAAACTTTGTCGCTCTCATTTTTTTGGTGAAAAATGGAACATTTTCAAAATTTTCTATTTTTTTTTATTTTTGGGAATTTTGAAATTTCAGTTATATTTTTGGATAGCTGACATCAATCCGATTCCAACAATATAAGTTTTGTTCTGAAATGTTGACTTTGATTTTTCACTTTTTTTCGCATTTTGGTCAAATCGTAGAGTTCTTATTTTTTTAAAACGGCTCCAACGATTTTTCTAAAATTTATAGAATATGAAGTCGAAGGTCCAAACTAGTTCATGAACTATAAATGAAAATCCTCTAATCACCGGAAGTAGTCAAGACATTTATCCAAACTTTGACAAAATTGTGAAAAATGGGTGCCTGTGCGGAAAATGCGATGTATCAATTGTGTTCATGTCGATTAGTTAAAGTTTTATATCGTTTAATAGCCAATTGAATTGTCTATCGGATGGTACTAAAGCGGCATGTTTCTATCAAAAATTTAAAAAGTTATGTGACTTTGAAAAGTAAGGTATTTTGCGATTTCGAGCAACTTTAGACGCATGTTTCTCGGAAAGTCTCCCAACGATTTTTTAAAAACTTTCTCAATCGAGAGATAAATGGGTACTCTGTTGTGAGAAACCACTGTATCATTTTTTGAAATGTCAGGGGTAGCCGAAAAATGAGATCGAAAATCGAAAACGTCGTATTTTTACGATTTGGAGCATTTTTAGAGGTCTATTTCTCGAAAAGTCAACATAATATTTTTTTGAAACTTCTTCTACAGAGAGGCCTATCAGTAGTGTTATATATAAAACCATTGTACAACAGTTCCAAATTTCAGGAGTAGCAGAACAAAGGGATCGAAAATTGAACACGGCACCTTTCATTGTTAAGCGAAACATAAGTAGGGGATACAATCTGTACGTTTTGTCAACGTATAGAGTCTATTCAAGAGTGCTTTTATCAGTGATGATATTTGAACTGAAATTATTTCAACTATGAGTGTTTTCTTCTTTCCAAAATATGGGTTTAGTGACCCTGTAACAGAAATAGTTGATTGCTGTGTGTAATAATTAGCCTTTGAATTAATATTGTTGCTTCTGTGTCAAAATTATCTTATACCGGTAATCATCTGGACAGAAATCGACGGCTCGCGCTGTTTATAAGAAAGTTCAATTTATTAATCGTTTGCAGTAGTATCGTACAGTGGTATCGAATATTGCACCTGTGATAAAAGGCATGACGTTGTTTGAGCATGGACTCTATCTCTAATTAAACTTAAATTTTTATTAGTGACGTCAAATCTTTAACGTGCACGAAACCAGAAAATTGGCGATATTTCATTGAATATTCAATCAATTTTTGAACCAGTTACATATTTGAGTAGCTGACATGAACGCGATTCCGAAGTCCCGTGTACACATTGGTCTGACCGTAAAAGATCCCTTGGCGGTTGGAATTCTATATAAAAGAAGACTAGCGCCGCGGTACGAGCATGTTTAGAGGTCATTTCGGGACTAACATATGGTTCATTATTTTAATAATTCGCTTGCGCGTAGGAGTCATTAGCAGTGGGAGGAAACCGGAGGACCCGGAGAAAAACCACGAGCTTGGACAGGCGACCCTACTCCTTGTAAGGTACAACCGAGGAATCGAAACCCCGCCAGTTAACTCAACGACAGACGGTATGATACAGCGCAGTCCCAAAGGCTAGCCTACCGTGCAAATTCCAGCCAGCATAATGAATCTATATAAGAAACATTTATTCCTACTGGCGATTTACAAACAGTCCCCAAGGATAGCCTACCGTGTAATTTCCAGCCAGCATAATGTATCTATATAAGAGACATTTATTCCTACTGGCGATTTACAAATATTGCATGAAGAAATTCAATTCATGAGAATAGAAACACGACTAATGCACAGTATCATATTGATTATAAAAGTACAATGTATATATTGGTTACACTATATATGTCACAAAACACCAATCATTAGATAATAATAATTATTTACTAATTATATAAATCATTTTAAGAGGTAGGAGTTATCCGTTGTTTAATTTAACAGTTATATAATTACTTTTCTCGGAAAAGCCGCCAATGATTTCTTTCAAACTTGCTCAATCGAGATTCTACTGGGTAGTGTATTGTGTGAAACCCTTGTACAATTTTTCTAATTGTCATGGGTAGCCCAAAAAAGAGATCGAAAATTGAAAACAGCGTATTTTTACGAGTTGGAGCATGTTTAGGGGTCAATATCTGAGTTATGCTAGAGTGTGGGTTTTTTTTTTTTTTTGGGGGGGGGGGGGGGGGGAGTGGTGGGGATAGTCTTTTGTCATATATCTGGCGATCGTGTGACGCCTTTGCGACCGTGAAAGCCTTCAGCATTGCGCGCAATTCTAGTTATTATTATTATTATAATGCACGAAAATTGCAAAATACACCATGCCATTATTTGGTTCAAGGGTGTTTTCTCACATCAGTTCAAAATGAATATTTGATTTATGACTGCATAGTAATGTTTTTATCAATTTTGACAGCTAAAATTAGCAATCTCCTAATTTGGGATCATCGTTCTTTTGAAAGGAATGGAAAAGTTTCCAAATATGTATTACCCTAACACACAACCCCAGTTCAGTGTGCCCATGGGAAAAAGTTTGTTATATTTAGATGTTTATGGTATTTGGTTCATCTCGCTATAATATTGAAAGGAACTGTGATCTTTGGGATATAAACATATATTTTAAGTTTCATCAAAATCTGACAAAAATTGTAACCTCTAGAGGGTCCACAAACAAATTGTGGACCGGACAGACAGACAGGGGCGACGACAATATACGTCCACAAGAAAATGTGAAACTTCTCCAATCAATAGAAACAGGTAACACAAACCAATTACAGACGGTTTGATGGGATCAATTTTGACTAAGTCAAAATGATGCATTTGACATTCAGATAAATTGATATACAATAATTAATAGAACAATATAAAAAAAAACATCGTTTTATCCAACGCGTCATCAGTAAAAACACTAACTTCTTCATCCCTGAAGAATTTAGTATTTTTAATGATGAAACATTGGATAAAACAATGGTTTTTTGATATTGTATTCTATTCATTATTATATCACATGAAAATGTGGGCGAATAAAAAACTTGATTTTCGTACTATCAGGGTCATTATGGTCCTCTCATCATATTAATAAACGTCAAATAATTTATATAGCATTTCAGGCCCAAAGAAAGACCTGCAATAGGCAGATTTAGCTCTTACATAATGCCTGTTTAATTATAAATGAATCAAAATTTAACCTTTTGTTTTCTCAACATTAATATTATATTCTTCAGGAGGAGTGAGAATAAAATTTAACCAATGACAAAATCCTCGTTCTTGTTTCTCCTGCCATCTTTCATCATAATACATATTCCTGGCAGCAAATGGCATGGGATGTTTAGGAACAGCTAAAATTGATACAGAATAAAAGATTAGTGAACAATCAAAACAATTTCCTGAATTGTAAATATAATCATATTCACTTTTTCAAAATTGAATTTAACATATTATTATTATAAAATCTTGATTATCCAAGGTTAGAATGTTTGTCATATAAAAAATCTGAGGTAAAAATATAATGTGTTCTATTCTTACTGGAGTAATACTTACAGGTTTTGGGTTTTTTAATCAACATCAATTTGGACTGAGCCACTCCCTTCATTGGTCCTCTCTGTTTCTTCAAACTTGTTGGAGGTAAGTTTGGTCCTTTAAAAATAATGGTAAAAAATTCAATCAAAAATTTAAATTACAGATCCATTGAAATAGCACATGCAATTAGATTTCATGTTTAAAAAAACAGTCTACTAAAGACAAAAAAGTTATACAATAACAAGCTAACAGTGAGGCAGATGTCCCCTGCCACCATCCCAAAATAAATACATCACTCTGCATTAAGTTAGAATCAAAGTTATCTTGTCCCTTAATAGACACCTACACTACATGTAAGTTTGAACATTCTACCTCAATTAGAAGGAGGGTTATTGTGTTCCAAAAAGTGTGACGGACAGACAGATCCATTTTAATAGTTCCCTGCTGTCTACAAAGACAGGGGACAATTAATCAAAACAAATATCTAATCACCTTTCCTGGACGATAGTGGTGGATTATTACCACTAAGAGGTGCTGATGATGTTCTGGCAAGACCTGCTTTAGTAGATTTATCAGTAATCAATGAATCATCAGAACCCATTTTGATCAGTGGTCTGCCTTGTGGTGTGTTCCTATTATTAGTGGATTTAGTAAAATCTGCCACAAGATTTTCTTGTTTTTTCTCGTTGGATAGATTTCTTGGTCCACTGTGTACTGACTTTCTTCTATCATTGGAAGTAGGTTTGTTAGCTGTGCCAATCAGATTCAGTTTCTCTCGTGAACTGGCTATAGATCGTCTATTACTAGTTGGCACAGGTTTACCGGTAGAAGAAACACAATTAGTGTGCCTGGCTTTTGCAGAACTTGTACCACGATTCGGTGCCATATATTTGTTTTCGGATGATTTTAATTCCTTTGAGATTATCTTATTACCTACTTTGTTTGAGACATCTAATAAAGCAGAATTTGATAGATTTTTTTTATTTCTCTTATCCTTTTTTCTATCCTCGTCTTTGAGACTTGAATCTGCTTCTAATTCTATTGAATCTTCTGTTTTGCTTTTCAAAAAAGAATCATTCAAGCTTCTTAAAGAAAGAGAAGATTCTGATTTTTCCGACAACAGAATGTCTGTACTATCTTCTTTGATGGAAGTGACCAAACTGCTCTCAGTCAATACTTCTTTCATTTCTGTGACAATATCTTGACCAACAACCAAACTGACATTCTCTGTTTCATTTTCAATATTGGGTTCCATTATTTCTTGTCTGTTTTCTTTGGAGGATTGTATATTTTCGATCTCATCAATATCATCAATTGCTGCAAATAATCTCCTTGGACTAACTGAATTCAGATCAACAAATCTAGGAGAAGTGACTAAATGAGTTGACCTTCGACCGATTTCAGGATCAGGAGAAGAAGGCAATCGATTAGGTGATCCAATCAAATTCGGTGAAACTGGTGCTTGTGTAAATATTTCCACTGTTTCCTTTTCTGAAATGCTACACATTTCCTTTTTAGGCAGTTCTGGACTTCCGCTAACTCCAACCTCTACAACTATGCCCTCACCATTCTCCAAAAGTTTGGTGCCTTCCCCAGTTGGTGTGCATTCAAATAAGTTGTTGTTCACTGCCGTTTGAACAGCATACAGCAATGCATCTGAAGGACGACTTTTTGTGACCGTTAAGGTGGTTCGTCTAGTAAAAACTTCACTTGGGCTGGAAGGAAGGACGGATGGGGAGCCAAATTCGTCCAAAAATGGGGATACTCTTTTTGGTGTAAGAACATTGTCATTTTCTTCAAATAATTTCTTTCCTGTGAGTATGACCTTGTTGTGGATATGTGGAGATGGTTTATCTTTAGTGATGGTTCGTGGACAGGCCGTATTGTTCTTTTTAGGTGAATTGGCATCAAAAAGTCGTTTACCAGAGTTTTTCCTGATTTTCTCCACTTCCGGTTCAGCTGATTCGTTCTTTGTTACTGTGCGAGTAAAGATTTGATGCACCTGACTTTGACTATAATTGGCACCAAGTTCTATATGCGTGACAGCTGATGCCTGTTCTTTAAAATCAATTCTAGTTTCAATATCATTATTTTTTTTAATATCATTTTTTTCATCTGTCGGTTTGGAATTTTTAGAGATTGGTGTTTGTCCAACTTTGTTTGATGTCAACAATTTTCGTCTCTTGGGTTTTTCTTCATTGGTTGCCTTTCCACTACCTTTTTTTGAAGATTTGGACAATTCATCTTTCTTTTGGACAGATCTATTTTTCTTCAGAGACACTAAAAAAGTTGTACGTCTCGGACTCTGATGATGGACATTTGGGTTCACTCTATCACTGCCTTTCTTACCCTGATGTTGTCTGAGAAAATTAGTTTTACGAACATCCTTTGTTGCAGACTCTTGAAATAAAGGAGTTTTGACAGTTGTTTTCTGTTCAAATGAGTGTTCATGTAAACTCAGGCGAACATTTCTCAATTGCTGAACGATAAGATTATGAGGAATGGAATTCTGAAGAAGTGCAGAGGGACTTGGAACACCCTTCAAGTTCTCTTCTTCCCCTTTTGTATTATTGAGGTTTTCTAAAAATGAAGTGGGGCTAACTGTTTTCTCACCAATTATTTGTGGTCCAACAATTTTCACAGGTTTCTTCTGTGCCATGTTTAAGGAATCGTTCAAAAATGTTTCTGGTGAAAGGAACTTTTTATCTTTTCCATCTTTGTCATTGGTCAATTTCATGCGTTGTCGTTTTGAAGGAGAATTCTCTTTGTTTTTGTTTTCCTTTTCTTTTATCTTATTTCGAGAGTTCTTTTCTTTTTGGATTTTTGGTGTGTCCTGCAATGTGTCCTGTTCCTTCTGGTAGCCATTACTTTCTTTGAATGCAAGAATTGTTTCTTGATCAGTGGAAATCCTTTGACTTTCAGCAGGTAGATTATTGACATCTCTCAAAACTGAATATTGGGTGTCTGAATATCGAGAATCGGTAATAACACATGAACCATCTATTTCTGACGATTTTAATATTGGACTGAAGGATGGTGAGCAACCTAGATCAACACTCTCTGATTTCGCTGTATATCCGACAGAAGATATAGAAATAGCAGTTGATTCTAATGGAGGTGGTGTGCTATCCTCACCACCCTGTTTATCTAATAGTTGGTATTCCAGGAGTTCATTGATGGGTGCTGGTGGATGTGGTTTTAAATTACTCATCCTCGGTTTCTCTGCATCCAGTGGACTGTAGTTGTCACGAATACACGCCAGACCTGGAGTGTTGATTATTGAAAATGGTTTCTTCACACTTATTCCAAGCAAACCTTTTTTCTGAAAAAAAAAATTAAATTTCAAAATATTAAAACAAAATCTTTCAGAATTCTTACTTTCAATATATAATAAAACAAGGGAAGGATTTTTGCAATGCCATGGCATCTTTAGTGTATCGAGTTCACGGCCATTATGTCCATGGCAGGACTCCTTTTATCATGAAAATGTGCAATAGTATCGGTAAAAGAAAGCACATGCACATATTTTATAACCATATCTAGATGTGATCATGTCTTAAAGGGGCATTATGGGAGATTAGATAAAAACTAGATAATATAAAGAGAATTTGCTGAAAATTTGAGTCAAATTGATCCACTCTGAACCAAGATCTTAGCTTTTGAATTTTAGGCCTAGCCTCGATCATCATTACTAAAGTCGGTACGATAAAAAACAGTCTTGATTATCCATTTTTGGATTTAATCATCAATGAGCGTCGAGCAGCAGATCGGATTCAAACCCAGTAAATATCACAGACTAGCGATGACATCGAGGGTTGATTATGGTCTGGATAAGTTAATTAATGTCTAATTAATAATTTAGATAACATTTCAGGCCTAAAGAAAGACCTACAATTGGCAGATTACAAATTATTAGGCAATATGAATACCAATCATTTTACGAACATTATAAGTATGTATTCATTACATGTATGTAGTAGTACATGTAAAGTTTAAAGTTTTTCCCATAACCTACTTTTTTAACTGGTTTCTGTTTCTTAACAGCTTCCGCTGAACCAAACACATACGATTGTAATCTGTAAACACCATCCACTTTAAATAATATCATTTCACGACAGGTACATGCTTCATCTGGTGACCATGTTATAGACAGAGTGACATAATCTTCTGCACCAACTACAAACTTGGTCTGATCAATGGAAAAGTTTTTCTTATATGGGAAGCGCTCAACAATTACTTCCTGTTCGTATTCATGTGGGTTGCGTACCATCAATATTCGTGATTTTGCTTTCCCAACTTTTATAGTTCCAAACCCAATTCGAGGAGCATTTGTGAAATGGGTTAATACAAGTGTCTCAATCTCTTCATCACTCTTGCGCCTTGCTGCTCCAGAAGAGCGCCTTTTTTTCCTATCAACTGCTATCTCTAGTTTTGTTGCTGGTGGGGTTTCAAACCATGATCTCCTCATTTTTTTCACTTGTCCCGGTGTTCCATTTCCATTACCACTAAATACTGATGTTGACAAGGAATCGTCAGGATTATCTACTGATGCCATGATTTTTCTGTAATTTCACTCACTATAATTCATGTAAATATTGATCATCTGCTGGAATTTAAAAAATTAAAAAGAATTAATTTGTTTATATCTCTGTTGCATTCTAAATACAGAACCACTTGTCTATCTGTACAACCAGACCATATACATCTAGACAATGCCAATACCTACCATACTCTTTGAATGCTATGGTATAAAGAGTGTTATGAGGGAAATTTTGCCCGGACAGTGGCACTACGTCTACTGTTATATCGAATTCTAACGTCAAGGGATCTTTTACATGCACACCAATGTATACACGGGACCTCGGTTTTTCGTCCCATCCAAATGGTAGACAGCTGTCTTTGTCAGGCCCTCCACCCTGCATCAAAAACAAGGGGGAATACTCATTATGGCGTATGCGTGTCTTCATTAACCCAGTTCAGAGCAGAACTGTAGGACGTTAAACCCCATTTCATTTCCAACTGCTTTGCACAATTTCTGTTCATTTTAAAATGGCCGCCAAACCAGAATCACATGATTTTATGTCATTTGAAAATACAGAAAAACTGTTCGGTAAGATAAGATTAAGATTTCAGTGTTCAACTCTTCACTATTTGTAACATAATTACTTATTTCCATCCAAAATGCGATGTGTTAAACATTTTGGAATTGAACCTAATTTAACTTGCTCAAAGCCTCAAATAGTGTATCAATTGTAGCCGTGATTAAGAATTATCATGGCTACAAATATTGTAGTTACTTTAGTAACGAATGGATAATGATATTCATATCACTTCGCTCTATCCGTTACTGACTCATGCTATTGACAACTAATATGAAAAATAAGGCTTTCCCTCCATCTCGGTTCAAAGGCTATTTTGGAATCCTTGTAAACCATCTTTTTTCACCGTGATTCTTCTTTGATATTTATCAAGTAAAATAAAAATGTACCTCAATTTAGGAATGAAATGTTACAGTAGAGAAAAATACTTGAATATTTTACCTGCGATGCCCGATATTTTGCACAACACTAATGATACCATATAAGTTTATTAATTCAAACTGTACATGTACTTTAAAATAATTTTTTCACAAAATGAAAAACGAAAAAACTATTATAGCGAGAACTGTCAGCTCATTATTTAAATCTTACATAATGCATGTTTAATTTATTAAAGGTACCGGTATTTATTTATGTATAGCTTTTTAATTTAGTTTTTCTATTTTTCGTTTTTCATTTTGTGAAAAACTTATTTTAATTGATGTACAGCACGAATTTTCTTTTACGGTAAAATTCCATTCCTTAAATTTGGAATATTGGCTGAGCACAACTATGAACCAATCTGCACAGGTGTGAGTTTGATAATGGTGGACGAATTCAAATGAATGTTGTTTCAGTTTGTGTTTTTGTATTGCACAATTCTACACAAAAATAGTGTTGGATTATTATAAATTTGTGTTGGTTGTGGCAAGAAATGATTCCTTTTGGCGATCAAAATAGACGGCAAGGATTCCAAAATAGCCTTAGAATTAGAACTGAGATGGGGAAAGCCTTGTTTTCATATTAGTTTTCAATAGTATGTGTCAGTAACGGATCAAGCGAAGCGATATATATATCTGTTACTAATAAACTAAAAGTAACTAGGCCTACAAATATTGCAGAGCTGGGGAAAATTTTGGCTGCATGGGGCACCCTACTCTGTATCACCATTGGCACTATACTGCTTGCCATAATTCTTCATATTCGGGCTTTATTCAATTATTTATTGATTAAATCTATTGATTATGATTATGCCCGCTTCCTAGAGGTTTTGCTCACACGTCGTCAAAATATTAAAGACTGAAAGAGTAACATCGGGCCTCAGGTAATTCCGGTACCCAGGAATTCTAGCCTTGCTAGACCGACTAGACGTTAACTTAGAAGAGAAGTAGAAAAATTAAAAATAAAAAAAAGTTGGTCTTGAATCTAGGCCCCTAGACTCTAGACTAGTGAATCGGATTTTAAAATTGAAATTAACAAGAATAAATGTCAGATCATATCATTATCATAGCTAAAAAGAATCGCTTAATTATCCACAAGGAAATTATACTCAAGCATAACGATTACACAAACCAATGTCTTAGAAAAATTACCATCAAATACATTCTAAACTTCTGTAAAACATCGTACAACAGCGTTCCAATCTTCACGCACTGTCATCCATCTTTTCGAATTTGGTGCAGACTATTTTTCGAACCAATGAAAGTAAAGCTTATAATTAAATTAACCAATCCAATTTCCTTTAGCTTTGAAAATAACCAGCTGTCACGTGATAAGCCACATGATATGAAAATGGCCGCTATTCAAGCAAAATATTTTTTTTTTTTCAAAGAATAGCTAATTTTATTTTATCTGTAACAAACATTATATAACTTATATATATGTAGCCTAGGATATATAAGCAAGACGCGACAGATTGTATAGAATAAGAACTACCGCTAAAAATGGGGATGCCTATGAATCATAGTATGCCTATGATGCCAGTAAGCAAGCTATTTTAGTATTTATTTTTCATCTTTAGACTTTTCTCAGTCTGTCATTTATTTAAACTGAATCTATTTTTGACTGACTCAGACTGTATGTTTCAAGATCTGACAGAAAATATGGCTACCATATCCAGCAGGTCTATAAACGTCAATTTTAAAGATGCTAAACCTCCAACATGATGATATTTTCCTATTTATTCGAAATTAAAAATACGAATTGTCCATTTCAAACAACTTGCATTGAATTGATGTTGTTATCTTGCTTTGAAAATATTCAATTTTTAAGACACAGTGAACATTTTATCATGGACCTTATAATACATAATACAGGGACCTTATAATACAGGGGGGTTGGATGGCCGAATGGTTAGCACGTGCGTGCTGTATCATGAAATACGACCTGTCATTGAGTCAACTGGCATGGTTTCGAATCCCCGGTTGTACATGACAAGGAGTAGGGTCAACAGTCCAACCTCATGGGTTTTCTCCGGGTCCTCCGGTTTCCTACCACTGCTAAAGACCTCTACGCACAAGCGAATTATTGAAATAAAATTAAACCATATGTTAGTCCCGAAATGACCTAGTTTGTGTTGAGTGGACGTTAAACCCCATTTCTCTCTCTCTCTCTCCCTTATAATCAATACTCGAGTCATGTAGCGGTATAGTTGCTGGCTCCATTTGTTATGAACAAAGAAAAACATATCCTACATGTACATGTACAAGACAATGCAGAAATAATTAGTAATGGCTGATTCACGAATGACAAAATAATAATAAAATACCCCGGGAAGAATGGACCAAGAAAGTGTTCAATTTGGACTGTTCATGTACTTCACCGAACATAATTGATTAGAAATTACAATAAAAAAATTTAAAAACTGAATATAAATTTAAATCACTTTATATACTTTATAAGACATATAGAAATAGATTTCACTAAAAATAACACACTAATATGGATATACTACTTCTGGATTTTATGTTATTTTCACTTTATATACATTAATATTACATTAATATGTGCCCTCAGACCCATTTTCGTTTATTTTAAGGTTCCAAAGAATAGAGCCATACGTACTTTAAATACATTGTATTATTTAAATTAGTTGTCTTATCTAATCCAATTTAGAATGTACATGTATAGGGTCTTTAATGATCAAATTTAAATCATTGAAGTATGGACATTTTGATTGTATTTGAGATTTTCGAGAGTTTTTCTCATGTTTCAGGTGGGCGATTCAAAGCTCACCTGGAAAATAATCTGCATACATGTAGGTGTACTCAAACGTAGATGATTGCTCTCCTCTAATGTGAAGGCCTGTATCTATATATGATCTGTACATCACTTACCATTCTTGTCTTAAAGCATTATTAAGCCTACAAGCCAGAATAATTTGTCATCATAAAATCATCTTTTATTCATACTAATTGTTGAATATGCATATTAATTTAGAAATTCTAAAAGTTTAAGCTCTGGTACTTGCATTTTTCTTGAATAATTTCCATTGTTTATTTCTCTAAAATGTTGCTTACTGTAAACTATGGCAACCTGTTCTGGTCTTTTTGCAATCCTTACTCTCGCTCCTTCATCCTTGGGGGGGGTTGGGTGGCCGAATTAAGTCAATTGGCATGGTTTCGATTCCCCAGTTGTACGTGACAAGGAGTAGGGACGCCAGTCCAACCTCGTGAGTTTTCTCCGGGTCCTCCGGTTTCTTCCCACTGCTAAAGACCCCTGCACTCAAGCAAATTATTGAAATAAATGACCTGGTTTGTGTCGAGTGGATGTTAAACCCCATTTCTCTCTCTCCCCCTTTATCCTTGACTTCTCAACTTCTTGCTTTCTTGCACTTAAATATCCTTGCCTTTGCGCCGCTTGACTTCTTAACTCTAGATTTCCTACTCCTGACTCCTCATCTTCTCGCTATGCTATATCTTGGCAAAACTTTAAACATGCATAAATTTGCTAAAAAATAAAATAATTTGACTGTAATTTTCAATATATTCATTTTTCATTATCTATATTATAACAATAGTATTATAGCAATTAAGCAGCCAGATTTTTATCTAATTCTAATCTTACATAATGCAACTTTAAAGATAGCAGCATGAAAGCAATAGAAACTAATGTAAACTTTGCATGGCTTTAACTTTAGTTACTTACGATCGATCAATTTGAACATTTTTGGGACCAAAAATGTACCAGTATACAGAATATATGTTTTTTTTTAAAATAAAAGTGCTTTAGATTGTATACATGCACTTCTTAAACTCTATGTTTAAATTTTATTGTCATGTTTGTACATTAAGTATCCTGATTTATGTTTTTTTACGGAAAGTATCCAATAGGTATATCATAAAACATGAAAAAAGAACAAATCTGTATTTGACAAAGGCTGAATTAGTGCCTAACAGCGTCTGCTTCAGATGCCTTATTTCTAGGCTTGGTCATTTATTGACTTCAATATTCAGACAAATTTAGGTAAGATTGAGGTATCACTATCCTTCTACAGCAAAGTCTAGTTGACTAATATTATATTGAATACATGTACAGGGTACATGTATGATAATTACATACAAACTTTGAGATTTTACATTATTTCATGTAGTTCTCTTTGTTATTTAGAAATTAGTTAAATGTATTTTCAGTCAAGAGTTTTTTGTTACAGACGGGAGACAGCCTAATCACGTGACAAGTTACTAAGGTTGTTTGGCTGATATTACATATGTTAAAACAAGTCTATTTAGGTTAAACATTGTTTATATTCATAGTGTCTTTTTGACTATTACTGCTGTGTACAATGTCAAAGTTTTGTCAAAACTTAAAGCTGACGAATTGTCAAATGACAATATCCTGTCCACAATGATAGCTTCCTTATTAGCATGTCATCACTAATTATTTTTACCTTTTCAATAGATTACTTTTTACCCTTAAGCCGTTTGTCCTGTTTTACCTGTTTTACCAATGTGTTCTCAGTCAGAGATAAAATTGGTTGTTATTTCTCATTTTATTTTATCAAGGAAAGATTTAATCAGTGGTGTTGGCTCTTGGTTATTTTTGGCAATTTTAATAACTTATTGATTTTGGATTTTCATCAAATTAATGTGAGTTATTCAACACACCAGTACTAAATTTCAAGCATAAAATTTGGATGAAAAAGTGATTTTGATGTAATGTATGTTTCACGATCGACATTGGATAAAAATGTATGTTAGTTTTGTACGTTTTGTGTGCTTATAATTACATTTATTAGGCCTACGGATTATGAGGTCACCTGTTTTGTGTCTGTCAGTCAATGAACACTTGGTCAGGGTTCACTGGATTGTTTTCAGTTTTGAAGAGATCTTTTATTGGGTCATATAAGTTTTTTCAATATTATTTGTTTATACAAAGTTTCATCTATCCAAACAATCCCTGACTATCAGCCATTAGAGCACTAGAGCACCTATAGGTTGATAATCTGCCGAGATGTTTAATATACCACAGATACAGTCCAATATTAGAAAATTGCTGACAAATTATCTGTTGTGTGCACAGGCCTATAAATCCCTAACCTGCAGGATGACAAAAAGCTATTTAAAGTACATCAAAGCAGAAAAAAATGACTAAGCTTACATTAACACCCAAATAGGTAGTCTGGATGTCCAACTCAAAACTATGGAACTGTTTTTGAAATTCTTATAATCTAGGTTAGAATTGACGGATTTGAAATTTTTAGGATATTATATTAATTAACCCTTTAGCAATCGGTAATTGTAAATATTGACTACCCTACTTCCTCGAAGAAAATTAGAGAAAAGTGAAATATTAATACTGGTACATCCTTGGACAGATCGAAAATGCTGTTCCTTAGACTGCCTCAAAGCGCCCAAGATATTTGAATAGTTTTCTGTATTACAGGACCATTACTAATCTGTGCGGGCACCACAGCTGTCCATGGGACAGGTGATCTAAGGAGTCCAAGTTGTGGCGGTTTGGAGCAGTCTAAGTGCTAATGGGTTAAAACTGTTAGTTATGTAACTGTAAACTGTAATGTAATCTTTTTTTAAATTTTGCATAGTAGCCAAACCCAGTTACTCCGCTCCCATTATTGTCAGATAGCCTGTTATTTTCTGTTATAAGAAATAATATCACGTCAATAATTTTTTGACGAAAAAAGGTGTTTTGAAGGCTTACAATTTATACCAAGTATAAAACATCATAGTTTCAAAAAATTGAAAGATTTTTAGACTGCACCTTTAATTTTCCTGTCTTAGTTTCATTTTTTTATATTTTCCTGTCTTACTCTTAGGTTTTTAACAACCAACCAAAAAATTATTCAATTTATTTTGTTATTTCCTTATTGACAATTTGGAGGAAAAAATTCAGCAGATTCATAGAAAATGTAAAAGAAATATTTATTTTGGGGAATAGAAATGTAAAGTAATACCAGTATTTTATTTAGATCTCATGAATTTAAATCCCATCAATTTCAAAAAGATTTATTTTGTTAGTTACCAAATATTCTGTAAGTTTACTGTTTTATAATATATCCACATGTAATGTTAACATGACTGTCACCCATAGCATCTGTCCATAAGTCAACCTTCTTGTAATCTGGCCATCATTCACAATTACATGAGGATGCTCTAGAGGCTCAAGCCTATGTTTTGTTGCCTGGCAACCCTTCTTTCTAAATTGTGCTTAACCAAATATTTTCAATGACCATTACATGGACCAAACAGTAAATTATTTGGTTGATATCAGAGTTCAAAAAACGATAACCTTTTAGTTTTCTCTCATATACAGCCATTAGAGGATAGAGATAGGTTTCTCAATCATTTAACATGTCCAGTCTAATGTTGTCAAAACTAAACACGGCCAAATCTAAACTGGATGTGTGTGAACAAAGCCTAATACAAATAATAGTTGTCTTCTACTGTGGTAGCGGTATTATAAGGAGTGACTTGATGTCGGGATGTAATCTAACGCGACTCCTACCTGTAACAGTATTTATTTATTTAGTGGATATAAAAGGTAGTTAATAATATTGCGCTTTAGGTAAATGAATAGTGATTATGATATTTGTGTAGATACTTTTTACATATGTAATAGTGAGTACGAATTTATATGTCTTTTTGTGCTTTCATGACAGATGTTGTTATACATGTATATGCGGTAATGACTTGAATTGAAACACATTAATTTTATTCTGATATCCAGATTATATTTAATGCAATTTTATTGCAATGGATCTGTGCCATTAATAGAGAGTTGTATAAAGATTGGAGACAGCTGACTTTTGTTTGCCCAAATTAATGTTTTGATCAATTTTGAAATTTTGGAGTTGATTAATTGTATTGAGATGTTTGCCCAACATTTTTTTCCATTTAGTCTTGATTGATTGTCAGATTATCCTCACAATTAACATAATACATGCAGTCTACATACTTTCTGGTTTAATTCTTGATTACTTGGTCATTAAAATCTTGGTTTTCGAACTGTATAAATTGTTCTTTTAGTCTTCATCCATTGTGATTGATGTCCCGATCATATTGTCATTCAAGGCTGAACAACTTTGTATTATTGGCTTCAATCATTTTCTACGTGTATACATTTAGATGAAATTGTAGGCTAAACTTACGACCTAGTGAATTTATTGATATTTATGTATGTACAGAATTTTTAGAATCCATAATGTGTAATAGTATTTTCTGAATTTTTTTTCTACCAGTATACCGGATCTATTCACTTTTTTTTTTAATTGTAGTCTGTGTTGTCCTAAGTATGATGTCTTGTCCGTGTATTTGTTTTTGTGTAAATTTTGTGTGGTGCAGTCCCCCTGCACTTACTATTAATGAAGTACTTTGAACCAAAAACCATCTTTTTGCCATAATGGGAAAAAATGTCAGATGTCTTCAAAGAAAGAATTCTAATTCTACATTATTTGACAAATTGTGATAAATGACTAAATCCATGTGATTATTCTTAAAAGTATTTGTATTTCAGATGTATTTTGTTACCAAAACAAAACTACAAAATTTCATCTTTGAAAATCTCAACATTACAGATATCAAAGGTAAAATCTATTCACACTTAAAAACGGCATTTGGTTTTATTTAACATGAATTTTTAACTGTAGGACGTCTAGATCAATTATGGACTAAAATATAAACTAGGCTTATCATATATTACGGTCGCTAAATTGTACTGTAACATCTATATGTTTGTGTCTTTCAGGATTAGTTGCAGTATGTTTTGTGGTATTTACAGTGACATTTTTGTTTGAGGCTTTAAAATTGTTACAGATATATTTTCAACTACGTGTACGACAAGATCCTTTATCTTATGCAAAAACAGATACAACGGTCACCGACCGTAGCATTTTACTTACTCCATTACTTATACCAGTGGACATACAACAGATACGAAAACAAAGGTTAATTTCTGGATTCTTTTATAGCAAACTATTAAGGGTCATTCAATGTCAAGTGGACGAAATTCACAGAAAGATGTCAGGTGACCCCTTCAGAAAATTATGAAAAAAATATATTTTATAGTACATACAAACTTATGTAAAACTGCAAAGCTGTATGACTCTAGCATTAGTATTGGCTGAGATATGACGTTTTGAATTGAGGTAACCTTTCGCAAGTTTTGAAACTACTATTCTATGACTCAATTTTGGTGTTCTGATTTTATTCCTTTTAGTCAGTATACGTGTATATTCTTGAAATTTTGGGGTTTGTAAGAGAACGTTACATAGATTAAGAATTCACCATCAAATTTTACAGAACAAGTACTGTCAACTGTGAATAGAGTGCCTTAAGTGCCAAAATTGACACTTGTGCAGAAAAATCAACATTTCGATACAGTGTAGAAATTCGACTACACTATATTAGAAGTTGTTACTTATCACATGTATTTGAACGGGGGGGAGGGGGGGGGGGGGGGGGGTTGGGATGGCCGAATGGTTAGCACGTGTGTGCTGTAATCATAAGGCCTGTCATTGAGTCAACTGGCGTGGTTTCGAATCCCCGGTTGTACGTGACAAGGAGTAGGGTCGCCTGTCCAACCTCGTGGGTTTTCTCCGGGTCCTCAGGTTTCCTCCCACTGCTAAAGACCCCTACGCGCAAGCGAATTATTGAAATAAAATTAAACCATATGTTAGTCCCGAAATGACCTAGTTTGTGTTGAGTGGACGTTAAACCCCATTTCTCTCTCTCTCTCTCTCTCTTATTTGAACAGTAAATTATGATATTTCATTTTTGCTGATTGAATGGATTGATTATAATACTTGTTATTGCCTTATTATCATAAAAGCAAGATCTTCTAAGAACATTTTGTGCATACTTAACAATTATCCATCCATATAAGCCCAAGTAAGTACCATTAATTTATGATTCACCATCAAAACATGGAAAATTCAAGATTTGTAACAATTTAAAATATTATTTATATTTTTCGCCCATTTGAAAGGATATCACTTCCAATACTTTGATTATTATGAAATCACACCCTGTAAGAGCAAGCTCATGCCTATGCATAGCTTCTACAACCTGTATTTTAATAGATTTTCAGTAATCCACTAATTATTAAGTCATTCGTTCAAATTTAATGAAAATGAAATATGAAGGAGTAAAATATTAAAGATAGGCCTTTCATCATTCATAGACACGTGTACAAGCAAAATTTCCCCAAAGTTTCATATTTTTTTATGAAAGGGTTCTAAACATGGTTAGCGTTTGTAAAAGACTGATTTTAGCTATTTTCGTGTGTGAGTCGATTTACAAGGCTAATTTTACAAGAAACCGACAAGATATGGCTTTTAATAATGTTTGTTCAATCAAACAGTACCGGTACCCATTGATACATTATACATGTGATAAGTAACAATTTCTAGTAATACATGTATAGTGTAGTCAAATTTCTTTGCACAAGTATCAATTTTTGGCACTAAAGGCACTCCATACACAGTTGATGGTTTGATGGTTAATTCTAAATCTATATAATATTAATATTCTCTTATTTAGAAACCCCAAAATTTCAGGAATATTGTCTAACTAGAAAGTAGAAGATATAAAATCGAGCCATAGAATAATATAGTAGTTTCAAAACTTGTGAAAAGGTACCACTAATTCAAAAGGCCATAATATCATCTCAGTCAATCTTAATGCTAGAGTCATATAAGTTGGAAGTTTGTATGTACTATAATAACATATATTTTCAAGTGGATGTATATTGTTGTTGCCTCTATCCGTCAGGACGTCGGTCCACAATTTGTTTGTGGACACTCTACAAGTCACAATATTCATCTGATTTTGATTAAACTTGAAATACGTGTTTATAACCCAAAGATCTTGATTCCTTTCGATATTTGCGCATATCGGATCGTAACTTCCTGAATTATGGCACCGGATTGTACGATACCTCGATTTCAGCTTGTGGTCCCCCTAGAGGTCACAATTATTATCCGATTTAAAAAAAAACCTTTGAATATATCACTGTTACACCATGGAACAAAACTGCCGGACAAAATGGCCGCCCCTTGTATGCAAATAGTGTAAAAGTATGTAATACCAAGGTTGTGAACTCTCTAGATGTCACAATTTTTTATCCAATTTTGATGAAACTTAAAATATAGCTTTATATCCCAAATATCTCAGTCCATTTCGATATTCGCGAATTTCAGACCATAAGTTCCTGGATTAAGGCCCCTGATTGTACGAAAAATCACTTGCAAAATGTGGGCGTATCTTGCCTGGCAACCGCTGGTTTTCATAATATTCTGAAGGGATCACCTTACAAACACTGGTCCACTTGACATGGAATGACCCATAAGTAATTTGGGCTTGGTTTCTCATGAAATCTGCCCATTTTTATTTTAATCTTGCATGACATTTAGAATGGTTTATGAGAGCTTAGGATCCCCCTGCATCTTTATATTTTTTACACACAATGTATACAGTTTATTGTCTTGACTCTAAAATGTTTTCTGTATTTCAGGTTAAAGTATCATTTTTATGGATGTTTGAGTCATATGATTAATTTAGCTGTAGCATATTTTATTATGTTAGCGTTTATGACGTATAACGTATGGTTAGGAATATCAGTCGTATCAGGTAAGGATTTTACATCATAACCATTATGTTTGTAAATTAAACAAGACAAATAATGTAATTTTAAAATCCAACACCCGAAATTTCTCTTTATAATTTATATTGTCTCATGACACATTACTTGTAAAAAAAAGTCCAACACAATTGTGTCAGGGGATGCAACTCTTTACTATTATTTGATATCAGGGGTTATTGGATACCCAGCTCTTAAAAATCAATGGTATTCTTGTATAATTTATTTATTATTTTTACTCTTGTTCTAATCCTTATTATCTATCAATATATATTTATATTTTAATTTTATGAGGTGTTTTAAATTTGGTAGAGATTTTTTACTATTAAAAAGTTAAATTCACATACATGTATAATGTATTAAAACATGATGAGGATATTTGATAAAGCAAATAATTTTTAAATATTTTTTTCAGGTGCTACGTTAGGTTACTATGTATTTGCAGCCATTGGTAACCAAATAACACAGAAGTTCACAGAAGTGACATCTAAAAATCAAGCTTTGGAAATAGATTCAGAATCTAACAATACCTCTACACAAGCTGATTCTACTACTGCTGAAAATTGTCATATGTAGGTAAAGAAATTGTAAGAATGGTTAGCCTCAGAATGCTATTACATTACCTGTACATATAAAGACATTTTTGATATCAAAATAATGGAATATCAAATATGATGAAAAATGAATTAAAATAATTTTAATTTTTCTATAAAATTAAAAGGATACCTGTTACTGGTCTTAAAAGTATAAAAATATGATAAAATCAGCAACATTTATGAAAGTAGCTAAGTCTCTAACTCAGTATCATCCAAAGTCTTCGACATTGAAAACACAAATTATTTATTTATTTAAATCAACGTTGATGTTGTGATCTTACTGGGGAAAGATGGGCTTCTGATATCCAATATTTAAGACAAAGAAAAACATTTTACCATTGGTACACGAATCGTGTACCATAATGCGTTTCAAAGCCATTTGTAACAAGAGACACAAAGACTGAGACTAGATATATTCCACAAGTCATGTCAAACGGTGACGCCCATATTCTTATCTGGAGAGCATGCTCAGTAAATACTATAGACTGGAATAACTAGACGCTAGAGATTTCCATTAGATTGTGACTTTTGGTGTATTTTGCCAAACATAACTGATTTGAAATTAGAGTAAAAACGGAAAAGAATGAATGTATAAATCAGTCTATATACATTCATAATAGATTATTATATGCATTGTGACCCATTTGTGTCAATTTCTAGCTCTAAAATATTAGCGATTTAGCTCCTTTAAACAAAATTTGTTTCACATGTCTAATCTGTGGGAAACAAATATTCTGCCATTGCATGCTGGGCTATTTATTCGTTGAAAATATAATGGATTTGCAGTTTACTTTTACCATTTAGAACTTAATGTGTAACTTGTAATGGCCATGGGAATATTCATATTTTTAAAAAGCTTTACAAAGCAAATTAAGTTTTTATGAAAGAGTCCCTAGATAATATGTTTTGTTTATGTATCTATTATATATTTATAAACTGTGTTCTATAAGTTGTACAGTATATATATTTCATCTCTGTGCTTCCTATTTGTGTATGATTGGGTTCTTATCTATCTATACATGTATTTAAATATATAGATATTTAACTTCTCTATATACATTGTAAGCAATCATTCAAATAGTGCTAATTGTTTTATTTATGTGTTAATTGTAAATAATATTTCTGTCCTAGAAATTATGTTTTTATGTTAATGGGATAATTTTATGCTAGGAATTATGTTTTTATGTTAATGGAATAATTCTTTGCTAAGAATTGTGTTTTTTGATGTTAATGAAATAACATTTCTATGCTTGAAATTATTTGTGTATGTTACAGTATCACATTATGTTAAGAATTACACACAAAAATATTTGTTTAGAGCATGGTAATTTTGAAGTTTTGTTAAGAATTTTGTTAATTGAGAGTGTAACATAAACTTATAATAACTTATATTTTGAATTAGAGAAGAATTTCTCAATGTTTATAAACATGGACGGTTATCTTCTTTTGTTGATAATCTTGATCCTTATAATATACATAATACTCAAAGTTAAGCTGTTATCTCAATCCTGGGTAAGCATTATTTTTTCAGACTTTTTCAAATACTTTTAGTTTTAATTTAAATTGTACATATAAGGGCCTTCATGTGAAAATGTACAAGTGTTGATATTTATTGTCATCAATATTGGTTATAGTTCTCATTTGCAATGTTATAAATGATTTATTTAAGGTTTAATTAAGTCCCACAATTCCATATTATGAAACTATTCTAAAGACTTAGCTGCTAAATTCAGTTAACTGAAGATATCTGTCATTTCAGTTTAGTATCACAATCTTAAATAGTTAAAGAGTACATAAGATGAGCAAGCAAACTTTTCTGTACTTATGGCCAGTGGTCACTATATACACTTTACGGCAAGCTCACACCAATCTGGTTTGATTGGCCGGTGACGTCACAGGGACCACACATACAATATACACTATTAAAGGACAATATTGGTGCCAGTCATTATCACATATGTGATAGAGCTCGTTAAACACATTCCAAATATAATTTTAACACAGAGATCATTGCTACGATAGCTGAGTAATACAGTTTTCTAGAATCGGAAGTGACGAACGCCAAAGGAAAACACGAGTCATCTCTCTATATAACTGGCTGATGTGACGAGTGATAACGGATATACGGGCGAATTTCTGCTCACTAATAATTCACTCGAAGACCAAATGTTGTTGTATGAGATTGTGAGAGGATATCTAACATTTCATAAAAAGAATTGACCGCCACTAGATAAGTGAACACGAAAGAAAAACCGAAAAAGTCTGTGCATTACCATGTATTTATAAGGTATAGAATGAATATAAACAAGAGAATGTACGGATCATTTCTATTTTTCTCGTGTTCTGTAATCTAATGGCATTCAATTACTTTATTGAATTGTCAGGTATCCTCTTACAGTCCCATATATCAACTTTTGGTCTTGGAAGGAATTATTAGTGAGCAGAAATTCGGCCGTATATCCGTTAACACTCGTCACATCAGTCAGTTATATAGAGAGATGACTCGTGTTTTCCTTTGGCGTTCGTCACTTCCGACTCAGGAAACCTGTATTACTCAGCTATCGTAGCAATGATCTCCGTGTTAAAATTATATTTGGAATGTGTTTAACCAGCTCTATCACATATGTGATAATGACTGGCACCAATATTGTCCTTTAAGGTTTTATCACTATCCACACACACCACCAGTTGACTAGTGTGTATTGACGGTTCAATTAACATACTTACTGACCTAAGCATTACCTTATTATAATTATCTATGTGTAAGCTACAAATCACTATAATTCAAAGCATTTTTAAGAGCTGACCTTTCTCGTCTTGAATTGTAATACATTACATACTTGTGACTGGAATATGTTAGAGTGCCATATTTTCTATAATTTGCAATGTCATTTTTACGAGTGGTCAATATTTGCGACTTTGAGTAAAGATAGCTGAATTAGTATTAATCAGATAGGTGTGAACGTGCCGTAAAATGCATATTATGTGACCTGTGCTGGCATAATGAGTTGCAATGAGGAAATTTTGAAATTGATTCGGGCAAAAAAAGAATGAGTTAGTATATTCCAAAACAAAATCACATAGCAACCAGGCAATTTATTTGCTATTTAGTTGTTTAATAAAAACATTTTCTATGACAGTGTTACAATTTAGAACAAATGAGAATACTCCACACTATAGTAAACCATGTTTTGTATATTATAACTTTTATGAGAATCTCATCAATTAATTAGCACCTTTAGTGGTCAAGAGATTAAAACTGTACCGTATATTGGGTAATCTGGTTTAATTTCTTGAGAATCAAAGAAGCCGCTACAGCTATAGGTGTGTTCGGTTTTCTTCGTCACACGACTGAACTAAACTAAGGTTTTGCGTGTACATGTTATTTTCAGGTACCGTAAGGATATCAGAATCTGAGTCACTGATAGAATGATAGAAATTTCAATTTCATTTTGAGAGATGCTAAGGTTCACTTTAGGACCTTTTGGTATATTGAAACGAACGGCGGAGAATTTTCTCACTCGAGATTCGTTGCTTTTCGACTTTTTTGTTGTTCTGTTTCCAAAACCTTGCTGATACTAAAATTTGAAACAATAATATCAAATTTGGCATGCTTGTACATTTTATGTGCCGTATAAGGTCACAGTAAAAGAAATTCGACTTTCAATATAAATTATGATTTTTTTTTTTTAAAGACGAAACGTAATGTCAAATGATCACTGCTTGGATTAATTAAAGATACATTATGGGAGATATTTGTAGAGAGTTGGCCATTCTTGCTATAACAGTTCAAAAGTAGATGATGAAAGAAGAATATATTGAAAAATTCAGTCAAATTACTTTATTCTGAACATAGTTATCATCGTTGTAATATTTGCCTAGAAATGTTAGCGAAATGTGTCTTCACCTTCGCCGAACGTTTGATTGACAGGCGTTAACTCCACCTACATATCTCGATTATCAAGTAAAGTTTTCAATGGCACACGGAAACGCTTTACAGCGGCCTCGCTAAGTACACTCTATCATTTAGCCTCGATCTAACTGACGTATTTTCATCAGGTTACCCCTTATCTGATTTAATCAATTAGTGAAATCCTATTTAAATCCGAGCTGTAGCCGAGCCATCCGTGGGTCTACAGAGTTGATTTTGGTCTTGTTGTTTAAATAAAGATCTAATTTATAATTTCTATAACATCTGAAGCCTAAATTAAGACTTGCAATAATCAGATTTAGCTCTTGCATAATGCATGTTTAATAGGGTTAAATAATGACTTGCAAAAGGTTTCATGTATATCACTGACAATTATCAATCAACAACTCATTAATCCATGAAAATTGATTAGTAATTTTCAATGACAAGTTTCGGGTTTAACCTAGTTGATTAATTTATGATAATTATGCAACATTGGACGTCTGAGTCAAACAGCGAATGAGTTACGCTGCGCTGACTTGAAATACGCTAAGGTTGTTTACGTTTTGAAACTCGTTTGTACTTGATGAAAATAATATCATCGGTAGTCGGTAGTACTTCGGTCATATTTATAAACTAGAGATGTAACGCTTCACAACGATGTCAAGTATCACACAAGGGGATTACCTGATCGTCCCACAGCAAGTGACGAAAAATAACTTATTTGCTGAGAAAAAAGAACAATTTATAAATGCGATACTCTCACAAAACATCCAAATAAAGGTGTTTCAAAATGTTTTATTACTATTTTGATCTTTTAGGTTGATAGATAGCATATTTATAGATTCATTTTTGTGAAAATCTAAATTTCGACCCAAAGCAATATTTTCACTTATTTAGCCAGCACGGGTCACATGTAAACACTGGCTATAAGTACAGAAAAGTTTCCTCACTGTTCTTTTGTGTTCTTTATGTTTTCTTTGGCTTGAGAAAAACAAAATTAAAATGATCAGTAATTTTCATTTGACTAAAGATTTAGATAATTTATGCATGATGTTTTATTTTTTTTACAGTCAAGAAGGAATTTGACAAACTCAATTTTAAAACTGTTAATTAAGTCTGAATTTTTAAAAGTAAACATTTAATTGAATCAAACAATTACCTTTATCTAGGAGTATAAATAAAGGCGGTAAATGTTTTTATTAAATTTTGAGTGTCTTTTTTTCTGCTTAGAATTTCTTTTCATGCCACTTGTTCAGTCTCCACTTCAAGGAAATGTGTATCGTCATAAAATTACATAAAAGACATTTTTAGAAAAATAAATAAATATTGAATTAAAGTTATACCAACATGTATTATTTGTACTTACTCATTAGTTCTTAAAATATTTGAAGTAAATGGAGAAAATTGTTGTGCACTTTTTAGCAAAATTGCAGGATTTAGGTGTTCTTAGAGTATAAATTGCTAGATGATAGAATTGTTGTAGTCAATTAATATTTATATCATGTTAATCTACAGTTTTTGCTGTTTTAAAAATACCAGATAATGTCATTTTATGGTGAAAAACATTTTCAGATAAGACAATAGAAGGATTATGAAGGAGCTTCTACGCCCTTTATTTTAAGTCTTTGCCTATATTTACCAAAGATAACCCCATCAGTCATATTGTTGTCATCATTTTAAATACACATAATTTTTAAATTCCATTTTTTATTCTTAATTTATTCAAAATCATGAAGCAATGATTTCTTATCTATATATTAGTTTATATTACCTATTTTAAATATATACAGTGTACATTCCTGAATAAATTGTTATTGAAATATTATTTGCTGATTGTTTTTTACATTATTAATTTTATGTAGGGAGTGGAGTTGGGGTTTCTTGAGATATACCATGTAATACATAATTATTAATTTAAAGTTAGATGGCCTACAAAATGTTTTCCCTATATAATTATTTACATGAATGATACAAAAGAAACATTGGTTTGGTACCATATCTTTCTGGTTTCCTCCCACTGCTAAACATCCCTACGCGCAAGCGAGTTATTGAAATAAAAAATTAAAACCATGTTAGTCCCGAAATGACCTGGTTTGTGTCGAGTGGACGTTAAACCCCATCCCCCTCTCTCTCTCTCTCTCTCTCTCTCTCTCTGGTACCATATCTTGGCCTTGACATTCGTGGATAGAATTGCATTATCATTCAGAGCTTGACAGACATTTACCAGGAACTAAACATTGCAGTGAGAAATAATGTGAACTTTAAGAAGGCCATAATGTAAAAACAAATATTGGTCTCAAAATGGTCTAGGTTTGCTAAGACATTGCACTGAAGCTAACCTTGCAAACTGCACCAGTATAAAATTCATTGAAGATAACCAGAGTAACCCTGCGCTAAATCCATTAAAGATAATCAGAGTAACCCCTGCACCGAATCTATTAAAGATAACCAGAGTTGCCGGCATCGAATCCATTGACGATAACCAGAGTAACCCGGCACCAAATCATATGAGGATAACCCTGCACTACACCAAATACACTAACAAGAGAAATAACATCAAATCTAATACACTGAGATCTAATCAAAAACACAACAAGAGGTACGTAGTTCACCAAAACTTGTTAAACCCAGAGCGACAACATCAGATCCACCAAATCCAAGGCTGATCAATATATCACTCAGATACTAAAGGCATTCGATATATCATATGTAGTCAATTGTATTATTTTAATCGCACCATATTACAAACGTAATAATTAATATTTCGTACAGGAAACCATCTGGTCATAACCATGGTGAGTGACATAGACTCTATCATCAACTCACCAATGATAAATAACGGACCATGGTTTTAACAAGATGCTTGTCAATAAAGGATTTGTTTTTGTTTGGTTGTTTTATTTACTTACACATACCCTTTGTGACGTCACCTTTTAGAAAACGTGTCTTTAATTGTGACGTCAAGATATTGTTAATTAACGCCATATTTCACCCCAGGGAAATCAGAATCGACCAGGACTGGCATCTTAAACGCCAGAACTGATCAACCTGCAGTTAATAGACCAACACTAATTTATTATATCTACCGGTATTTATAATTAATGGATAAAAATAAATACTTTAAAATCAATATCGATGTGAAGTGCACTGGTTAGCGGGTATTTTAATAGAAACGTATTACGTGGTTTGTAATAAGGCTATAATTTTTAAAGAAGAGTTTTGAGATGACGCGAGGTGGTAACTGTATATTGGGTGTACAAATGCTTCTTCATTTGGATTAAATTGTGATTTCCCACAGAACTACGTATGGAAATCTAGCTGCAAACACACTAGTTGTATCGTGACAAATCTTTAAAGAGTTCGCTCAAAATTGTTACTGTATTTATTGTGCATTTTTATTTGGTGAAATTTTATCTGCTTAGAAAATTAAGTTTGTGCAAACCGGGACAAAAGATATCAGTTTTTGAGAGACCTTACAGAATGCCTACACAACGAGAACGTCTTCCTGCAAGATTAGGTAAGGGGTACTACTTAGTTAAAATCACGACACCTGTGCTATAATTTGTTTATATTGAAGCATGATCTATATATCCTGAACATTTTGTGGGTTTCTTTTATTTTATTTACTTATTTCACAGAAAATGAAGAACGAAGAAGCGGAGGCTTTCTTGGATGTTTTGGTCGCAGTAGGAAAAAGAAAAATAGTAAGTTATCTTATCGCATATTGTTTAATAATAATTGTTAGGGGTCTATATATTTATTATTAATCTTTTATCACATCTACTTAATATGGATGCAAATAAAGATATAATACTTCTCTTATTTTTATTTTTAGAAACAGTATTATTGGAGATTCAAGAAGAACTACATTCATTACGTGAACTCCGTCAAATACAGGCAGGTTAGTGTGGAAAGTGTTAATGCTTTTAGGCTAGAGCGCATTAAGGATTGGCGATGAACCGTTTGCTCTATCTGTGTTTTGTTGTACAACACTACTATATACATGTTGCCTATGAATGCATCCGCATCTTACCAAAATTTTGACATCGCATAAAAATGTTTTTATCGTTTTTTTCGAAATTCAGACGAAGTTTCAAGAATGCAACAAGAATTAGAAAGAATGAACAGATCAAAGGTAGAATTAATGGAAACCAATTTAGTTATGAGACAAAATCTAGGTGAAACTCAGCTGGAAAATAAAACATACGCCATAACAATTGAGGGTATGCAACATGAGGGACATCAATTAGAAGAAGATATAGAATCCTTAACAGGTAATAAAATGCTCTTCCCTTTGTTAAAACACGGTTTTAGCGCTTCACATTAATCAATCTGTTTTATAAAAAAAAAATGGCAAGTCAGGGTTATTTATATCATTTTTATACGCACTCCGTCGGTTCTTTAATAACGCACGACGTTGCTACTGGTGAGTGTATTAAGGGACTTGACAAGACTGCGTCTATACTAAAATAGTGTCTATATTGTAATTTTGAAAATTAGAAACACAAAAGGTACTCACTCTCCTAACGTTGATGTAAGCTGATATATTAGTTAATACTTATTGCCTTTGCACATTTAAACTTAAACTCGCAAGACAAAACAATCTAGACAAACTGATGTTCATAGTTTTTCATATCGGGTCTACAAAACTATATTCTGCAGCTGCTGATTACCAATAATATACAGATTAAAAGATTATGGTCTATCATTCAATTTAACTTTACATGGTCATCATATTTTTGGGGTTGATTGAGTGACCGAATTCACCTCGAAGAAATTTTGTCTGTCTAGTTTTCCGATTTAATCTATGTTACAGAAAATGGAATAATTATGCATTGATTAATTTTTGTTCTTGATCATTTGTATGAATTTTTACCTTAGAATCATTTGTATTTTACTTTAGAATCATTAATTTGTATTTGTATTTTACTTTAGAACCATTTGTATTTTACTTTAGAATCATTGAAATTATGTAAAGTGGACAATGGACAGTTGAGGAAGGATAGGGATGTGTTCAATGGTCAAATACAAAATTTACAGAAACAAATGTTATTAACGCAAGAAAACTTGGAACTAATGACAATATCTTTCCAGAAGTCACAGAGTAAGTAACCTTTTTATCTTATGTTTTAACTCAGAGATTTTACTTAAAATAATTCACCATTATACGCGGCTCAGTGAGTAAGGCGCTTGCTCACTTACCAGGTCCGGAGTTCGATCTCGGCCAACGCCGCCAGAACAACGTCTAGTCGTTCGAATGGGACGAACAGCCGAGGTACTGTGTACATATTGGTGTGCACGTCAAAGAATCCTTGACAGTTGGAATTCAAAATAAAAGTAGTACTGTTGTTAGGTGTATGCCCGACTTCATTAGCCCAGTGCAGACAAGTAGGAAGTTAAACTCAGTTTCATTTCATTTGACCCTGGTCGACCCTGTCACTGCTTTGTCATCAAGCTTTACACCAGAAGACCCACATTCTATAAATATAATTTCATTTTTCATCTTCGCAAACAGTTTGATTCTACTCACAACTCACGGATTTTCTTACCCAGAAACAAAGATCGACACTATAGCTTCTAAGATTCCATAATCGTAACAAAGTTTTGAACGTTTCAGATAAGGTAGAGGCTTTAGAAGAACTTAAACAAGAAAATGAAAGAATAATTCAGCATCTTTACGAATTAAAATCTTATCTAGCTAAAAACTGTGCCGAAAAGGACATGGAGATTAAAAATTTGAAAGCTTTATTTGAAAGAGACAGACGAGCTTTTCAAAGTAAGTATAACGTGCACGTACACGAATATCCCCATGAAATTAATTTAGATGTCCCAAATTTCTCACTTTTAAGTGTAAGGCTGCTTTAAAAGTCAATAATTTTATACATCCGTCAGAAATTCTTCACTTTTATGTGATCGCTTTTAGTCGTACGCCTGCTGGGGTCTTTATTTGTAAGACATTTAGTGCAATTCGACTCGTTTTAATTCACGATTCTTATTTCGTTCGTTCGTTTCTGGAGTTTAACGTCCACTTCCAACGTAGACAAGAATAGGTATGTTCTTAGTGTTTAACGTCCGCTTCTACCGAAAGGGATGTCGCAGACAAGTCTTATTTTTCATTTTCATTATCTTAGCGCACGCACACAGGGGTCTTGTCTGTGGGAGGAAACTGGACTACCCGGAGTAAACCCACGAGATTGAGAAGGCGCCCCTATCTCCAAGCAACATACGCCCACACCATGGATCGAAACCACAACCGCAAGCCAGAGGTGACCGGCCAGCTAGAGGTCGAAGCGCGGCACTTTAGAACACTAGGCCACCCCCACCCGCACCCACGATTCTTATGGACCGTTGCCGCTTTTAACTGTTGGTAACTTGTTCTGGGTCAGGCATCGTGTCCACCGCTAAGTAACTATTCTAGTAGTTGACCAAAGAGAAGGTCCAATTGTAAGTTTTCCAATTTTCCGACGCTTTAATTAAGACTTTTAGCTTACCAACTCTATTTTCCACAAGTTTGTCAATGTTTTGTTCTTGTTTCGCAGCACTTCGGGAAGTTCAACACTTTTGTTTGTTGACGCTCATTGATGTTGTCCAATATTTTCAGTTGTACGATTTACTACTTTTACTTACACACTTTTATGTTAGATCTGACTACATGTGTTTATATCGTATCTATAGGTGTCAGAGAATATCAACTAGAGAGATTGGGTAGATTAAAACATAAATATCATAATGCATTAGTAAGTACGATTATATAACTCCATGGACATAAGTCTTCGAGGCCCGAATTTGTGAAGGAGAAATAAATGGGGCCATGAAACTAACACGTACGACAGGGTGAACCACGAACAAAGGTGGATCTATTTGATGTTCGATGAAAAAGAAGGGTACCAAAACATTTTCTTTATCCGCTCGGCACCAAAATCGGCCATTCCTGGATACCCCCCGTCTCACCACACCACACGACCAACCCCGGGGAACATAAATGTAGCTATAGTCAGTTGACCATATCTGAAAGTATTGAAGCTTACTGGAAAATGTTTCATGTTGAGTCGCATTTTAAATTGACTTTGATGAGGTTCGATAATCTAAGTATACTTTGTGGTCCCTTTAGCTATCGATACGGTTTTTTTTGTGGGCGAAAAAAATACACGTAATCCTAATATTTATCTTTTAGATGTACCTATGGGAGATGTCACGGAAATGTGACTGTGATTGTAAAGAGGCGTGGGTTAATCCCGGTAACACATTTAAACCAATACATTACCCAGAGGATGTTCCACTGTCATTAGATTTTAATAGCTTTTTAAAAGGTATGTACATGCAGTCCAATCCCGGTGAGTCAATCTGAAAGGGTTTGACATAACATGGTTGAAAGCTTCGGGCATTCATATATTAAATACGTTTGGTGGGATAGTCCATGTTAAAGGTATCAATGAATATGTCCGTAACTAACTAAAATGCTTAAATATGTTCCCTAATTATTCAGGGGGGGGGGCATATTTTTAAAGAATTTCGACACCCCTTGGGGGAGATTTGGTACATGAATGCCCTGTGCTTTGTATTACAGATGTGATGTTTACTTAAATATATGTATATATGTTACTTTCCATCTATTGAATTATACTAATAGCTCGTGATTTTTCATTTGACATCACCTGTACTGTACTAAAGAATGCTGGATGTGGTCAGTATAATGAAAATATATTCATATTTTTTTCCCCTGTGTAGGTTGTAACGGTTTAACTACGGAACCTAATCTAACCATATTAAATACAACGGTAACATCATATGAACATGAATTATATAGATATAGAAAGATGAATGAAATGTTAGAAGATCAAATTAAAGAATATGAATCTGATTATACAACATCTTCTAGTTCACTGAAAGGTTAGTTTTAATAATATCTCCTGTCTGGTCAATATAGGCATCCTGGCCTTTCCCTTTGGCGATTCCATATCATCACATGTTGATAGACGCGAAACATACAAATTTATCTTGGAATCATTATGTAGGGAATATCAACTTCGCTTCTACACCCTGTACTGGAGGACATAAGTGGTCACCTAGCACGGCTGAAAATCGGATTTCCTCACTTGAGAGGTAATCAAGCTGGGACACGAGTTGCGGTGATTGTTTTGTGAACGGCTCGTGGCCAAACAGTGCCCCAGACTCTACCATACAGCCTCGCTATAAATGCTGTCGAGTTGGCAATTTGGGTCTTGTCTGCGATATCACTTCGGTGGAAGCGGACATTAAATAAAGCTATTTCACACACAATTTGGGCCAGTCGGTGCCTATCTGCTTACCACCCTGTGGTCCTAAAAATAGGTTATAATGCATCTCATTAGTAGTTGTGTCTGGTATCGTTGTAGTAATAGTTATAGATGCAGTATGTAGTCAATCTCACCTTATTAAAACTTCAATAGCATATCTTTCCTACTAGTTCTGTAGCACAGTCCGACATGATATTTATAGAAGTGTGTTATGTTTAGTTTCAGAAGAATCCAGTGAAGATATATCTAGTTTACAAAGTTCCTTACAGGATGATCTTTCAAGTTTACATATTTGTGCCAGTAGTTCCCAAGAATTAGAATCACTAGAAATAAGTGATCTGTATGATCTCAATGATAATAATACGATTAAGAAGGTTAAATTCCTTGAATAAAATTGTAGGAATAAACATAATTCGTGGTCTTCATATTGTCTTATCGTTTTATTAATATCATGGTGCATAAATGCTTTAAGTTCAATCAAAGAACAAAATCTGAACAATTTTAAACGGTTTGTCTGAAAACTTATCACTTCATAATTATAACATACCCGTGCCAGGGTGTCATCAGATACATTCTTTACCAACCTTTGGATTAATCTTGTTAGTGGATTCGCGCTCTGGATTACGATATTGTTCCGACAGAAATTTTCGTTCATTGGTGTCAGTTGGTACTGTCGTGCCCCTTACTTTGATGGAAAGTTGAAACTGTCCTACAAACGCTCTATTCATTTGGGTATTTTCTAAATGAATTCAAAACCAGATTGAAAAACTAAAGAATCTGCTGGATTTTTCAGGTTATTAAAATAGTGAGTAACGGTTCTCTAACAACTACAACCTCAATCCTTTGTAGACTGATAAGATAAGGAAATTAATATACTGAGACGCAATGAAAACAGATTAACTGATCTGACTGGAAATGCTGGCGAAACATAATGCATCTGAAATGGACACAAGAAAACCAATTTACCAAGGCCACACCACCATTAATTTACAGAGAAACACGTGCACAAGGGGTACTCTAAGGACACACGTCCAAGTAACATAGCAGCATGGAGGAGATAAGCCTCTGTATGGCTGCTTGTCGGGCACTTGTTGCAATGCAGCTTCTAATTGACGGAAAGATTGCAGTTGAGGACATTGGTACGCCCGCCCACATATTCTCGGTTGTTGGAAAATCATGAAAGAAGGCTGAACATTCGAGCACTGGAGCTTTATTTTGGTTAAAGAATTCCACATTAATTTACAGAGAAACATGTGCACAAGGGGTACTCTAAGGACACACGTCCAAGTAACATAGCAGCATGGAGGAGATAAGCCTCTGTATGGCTGCTTGTCGGGCACTTGTTGCAATGCAGCTTCTAATTGACGGAAAGATTGCAGTTGAGGACAGTGGTACGCCCGCCCACATATTCTCGGTTGTTGGAAAATCATGAAAGAAGGCTGAACATTCGAGCACTGGGGCTTTATTTTGGTTAAAGAATTCCACAATGGAATGTGTGCAGATCTTAATGGTGTTGATCCAGAATTGGTCATGCCGTCTGGCATGCAGTCGGACAGAGTGTAGTCTGTGAGGCATAGTATCAAATGAAATGAAATGGGCTTTAAGGCACAGTATCAGCCCTGATGAACCCACATGGACCCTTCACGGATGTAGCAGCACGGAAAGCGTGCGATTCTGCAGATTTTACTGGTCTTCTCGAGGTGCTATCACGCGTTGCCGTCCAGGTCTTGGCTGATCTCTAGTGGACCCTGTCTCAGGATGGTAGTGTGGTTGCATCCAAACCTGGCACTCGGTGTTAAGACGTCTACCACATAACCGCAGTTGTACTGACCCTAGCTTTTTAAAAGCCAATTTATCTGTAGTGCGTTTCCGCGATCGTGAAAACATTATTCTTGAGTGTTATCGTCGTAATCTGCTGTTTTTACGTTCAGAATCAAACGAGATTTACAATCATCTATTATAATGGTGTTGTGTTTTCTCTGTACCTCAGTATATAAATTATAATGATAATATAATATTTATTGAATGAATTGCTACCATGCTAAGTAAACAAAAAAACAACTTATGAGTGATATAATATATCGTCTATTCATACACAGCAGAGAAAGCAACATTTCTTTACAGTAACATACAATGATAATGGCCCTGTCACATGGAATTACATGTAGATCCCTTAATTATTGGACTCTTTTGAATTGCAGTGTCATTGGCCATAAAGATTGTCTGGCTCATGCTACAGTTTGTCTAAAGCTACTAACAAACAAGACATAGCTTTCTTGGATGATAACTCTCTACAGAAAACTGCAAGTTGTACATCCAGCTTTATTTGCACTGCATCACTATATACAAACAACTGAAACTATAACTGCATTTAACAGAAACCCTTGTATTGCTATAGCATAATTACATTGGCAATAAATACATCATATGTTCAAATAATAGGTCCATATAGATTATGCAGATTAAAGTGTCATTCATAGTAAGTTTCAAATCATGTACAATATTTAATGTTAATCTAGTAACTAATAAAGGTGTAGAAACATAAAATGCAGTGACTAAAATATTAAAATAAAAGATTCAATACGAAAATTAGGTATGGATTAACTGGCTGTGGTAATACAGTTACCGAGGGTAAATTTTAGAAAATTAACAGGATTAACTTAAAATCAAAGCCAGCATTTGGTTATCTTAGTCAGGTAAAGAGGCATTATGGGAGATAAAGAGTTGACTATTCTCACTATAATAGTTAGAATATAGATAACATAAATAGAATATGTTGAACATTTCAGTCAAATTGCTCCACTCTGAACCGAGATATTAGCTTTTGAATTTTAAGCCTAGCCTCGATCATCATTACTAAAGTCGGAACATAAAAAACATAGTCTTGATTATCCATTTTTGGATTTAATCATCAATGAGCGTTGAGCAGAAGATCGGATTCAAATCCAGAGAAAATCTGACACATAAGATTGCATTGAGAGCTGATTATGGTTTAGATAAGTTAATTAATATCTCATTAATAGTTTATATAACATTTAAGACCTAAAGAAAGACCTGCAATAGACAGATTTAACTCTTGCATAATGTATATTTAATATTTGATTAGGTTTTAGAGAAATGGTCTTAGATTAAATAGTGTGCATATTAAGATATAAATATGCCAAGAGTTGAAAACTTTAATTTTATCCAGGACTCCCATGTACATGCACATATTGGTCAGTATTTTAACTGGCTAGATAATCTACGTGTGAGTCAATTTGCATGCAATTCAATTGGGAATTTTACCTAATCACAACAAATTCTGTTACTTTTTATATAAATTTTTATGTGTAAAACACTGATAAATTCATTTGGGATAATGCTAAAGAATGTCATCTTTGAACAAACTGTCTTGCCAGTCAATGGCCAACAACAAAAGTGCAAGCATTAATTGGATACAATCCATAAGAGTGCATTCTTCCACATAAAGACAGAAAGTAGGTGTATCCAATATAGAAATAAAGCATTTGACTAGAGAATGTAGACAAAATATGGCAATGAAATGGCTAAATAATATAAAAAATTAATCCCAAAACAAGAAAACATATAACTAAATACATAAATATAAAGGTTTAATTTTTGTTATTGGATTTAATATATATATTATGGCACTTTGTGCATATATTTTCTCTCTTCTAATTGAGAATGGCATTTAACCAACCATTTTCATACATTTAACCATCCTTCTTGGAACATTTCATTCACCTTTATTCTACGCACATTGGAAAGAAAGAGAACTAATGTGGAAGACAATAGAAAAATCATGCTCTCGAAATCTATATAGTAACTGGCCAACTAATTGTACTTCTCTATTATGTAAGGCAGTCATACTGTCACTGAAAACTCAAACCCTTGCCTTTCTTTTTTGTACACAGAAACCTCTCATTAACTGGAGAGTGATACATGAAAATAAGCACAAAAAAAAAAAATTAATTTTACTATCAATGACCCAAATAGATAAGTTGAATGAGTTGGTGAATGGACTCAAAACAGACACAAAGAGAAATATTATACAAAGTTTGGGATGACCATTATTCTGAAGAAAAAAAAAGTTGATCACCCATAATTAAAACTATATTATAGTGAATGAAAAAATATATATATATATATTTCAGATTGGAAACTACACATAATCAAACATGGATTATTATCACAATTAAAGCTTCTAGGTTTTTATACACTAACATTTTCTATGGTATTTTTTTACGAAAAGAAACTTATTTTTAACCATTGTATTTAATTAAAGATATGTCCCCTCGAGCATAATAAGATCATACATTTGATCTGCTAAACTTATTATAATTTAAAATTCCGATATTTGTAATTTACCAGGAGAAATCAAATTAGACCCAAATTGCTGTATATAAGTTAAACAATTATAGACCCAAATTGCAAGATGTAAGTTATACAACTTTTTTTTTTAGTATATGTATCACAGAGCCCGATCCTGCTGTCTCACTGCCATATAATATCCAAAAGCAGCACCAGTCTAATACATAATTGCGCCTCGATAAATTTGTACAAATTGTCAAAAATGTTAATGTTAAAGACATTGTAACAAATAAATTTTTCCTAGTAATTTGAATATGTTTTTGATTCAATAATCATATTTTTAGACCCATGACTTTCAAGGAAATATATCTTCAAGCCTCTTAAAACTTAGGTAAATTTTATTTCTCGTAATCTTTGTAGGATATACCTAAAACACTGCACATATTTTATCAAATTTCATGGCAATAAGAATGAGAAATTAATACAATACTAAATGAAATACACCTATTTTAAAGGGACAACAAGCCAGAGTTTAAGATGATACACAATCAACAGTACAATAACCTTGAAACAATATACTGATCCAATTTATATTCAAACAGGAGTTTGAAATTTTAATTAATTTCGCACCATCTTTATGCCCCTGAGATCTTCTTAAATATATTGATTTGAATTCAGTAACAATATTTAACCTGTATTATTTGCTTGTAATTGTCTTAATTACTATCTAAATAGTTTAATTTCAAAACAGAATTTTTTTATTGATTTTCTGCCATGTTGTCCTTTTAATAAATAAATCTCATTTTTAAGAAATAAACTGAATCAAAATGTTTGTTTTTATTTGAATGAATTATGCAGTTATAACTAATATCTCATTGAATCCTAATGTAATATGACATGACAACTTCTGATGAACATAGAACTATTAAGACAAAATATTTACATCTCTTTCAGTAATTGTTTCCCTTGAAATTTGAAAAATAAATGAAGCTAAAACGACAAACTTTGATAAAGTCATCAGAAATATAATACCCAAAACAACAGATTTCTAAAATAAATACTAAATTAAATAGCTATTATCCATATGGACCTATTTCTTTAAAGACAATATCTCTATTTGTAGATAATCTACAGGTATTAGACATTTTGAATATTTTTCCTTATATCAGATCTATGTTAGACATCTACCAGACTTCTATAAGAATTTACTCTAATTACTGTTATGTACAGTACACCCTTATTCCACAGGACATGTTCTGTACATGATCAACAGATATAATCAGTTGATTATCAAATTTATCAATAGCTCTTCTATTGATGTCTATATCTAAATTTTTGTCCCAGTTAGCTGAGTGTGATGCATACGACAGAGAATGTTTACTCGTATATAAACACTAGATACCACTTCTCATCAAATCAGGAAGTTTGATTAGATCATTTCTGGAGTAGTATTTACAAGATAAATCCAGTTATGTTTTTATCACCTATTGGAGGACCATCAACAGAGGATCAACTGATGAATTACAGAACTCAGGCATGTAGAATTTAAGGGGTTCTGTAAACTGTACAAGTATATGGGTCGCGGATTCATTTACAATATTCTTTATTAAAGTCATTCACACATTTTTCCACAAAATATACACATACACTTCCATAAAACATGAACAAAGTGTATCTCCTTTTAGCACTTTTAAAATAACAGAGCTATGTATATAATAAACACTTACAGTGTCTTTATTGGGCTGTTGTACAACTCTTTAATTTAACTAAAATTGGAAATTTTCAATTGCATTTAATTGCCAAGAATCCAAACAAAGAAAGCTCTATTACTGTTTTTCTTTCTAACTTGATGCTAACATTTCATTTTTATTATAAATAGTTTGACTTCTACTAAGAAAGAGTGGTACCAACAGCCCTTAGCGTAAATATTTACCAACCTACTCTAGTGCTTCTAGGAAAATGAATATTCCAAAGAACCTCTAGCTGATTGTCGCTAATTCGCTTACACCATAAGGTCTCTAATTTAAAACTGAAGCTGTACTGTAAACCCTGTTCTCTAAATGGTACAGCCCAAATAACACCCAGGGGGCACTATGTGGGTAATACCAAGTGGTGTAACTCTGATTAAAAACTTGAAGCTCTTTCGTTACTATTTACAGTAAGAGAATATTAGATAGCATAAATAGAGGTAATGAATATCAAACATTAAATAAATGCAATACTTTGTTGGCATATCACCCTCATATAGAATTGATCGTATCACTATTTATAACACTGGTTTAAATTCCTCTCATCACAAGAATGGATTTGACGTGTTACTCCTAGGTGCCATCTGTTGTGCATTTGCTGTGTTCTGAAACAAATAATAAAACATGTGGATAATAATATCCAACATCCACACCAGGTGATCAAATACATGTACATGTTAATCATGTAGCCCTGGAACAATTCAAATTGAAGTGAAATTGAGTTTAACGTCCTGCTTTTCTGCTATATCTGGGTTAATGAAGATGGCCATGTATGCCATGCAGTGTGCTATGAGGGAAATTTTGTCAGGACAGTGGCGTTACGGCCTACTCTAAGTTTGAATTATAACTGTCAACGGCTTTTTTATGGGCATGCCCCTGTGTACAAAGGACCTAAGTTATTCGCCCCATCTGATTGACTAGATGCTGTTCCTTGCCTGACAGTCTGTCCTGTACCATTGACAAGGGGAAACCACCAAGAGAAAATTCCAAGGAACTTTCTTGACCAACAACGGGATACAACCCGGGATCAACAGGTTATCTGCTGGATATATTTGTCTATTGATATGATGTCGAGATAATCAGGTCTCATTCAAAGATAGAGAGAGAGAGAGAAATGGGGTTTAACGTCCACTCGAAACCACGCCAGTCGACTCAATGACAGACTTTATGATACAGCGCGCACACGCTAACCATTCAGCCATCCAACCCCCTCATTCAAAGATAACCAATCAGAATAATTGTATCAAACAGCTCTTAATTAGATATAAAGAGTAATGGTGGCGTCTGCAAATCACAAGGCAAAATACCTTGTATTTGTATATATTTGTGTTTTGACAAATTCAACAATAATTGCAGCTTTGTAGACTGGAATTAATCAAGGACATAAGAATTTGACATCGAGCTGAAGTGAGGATCAAACGTGATAATGTGGTTTTGGTTACACATCCAGCTAAAAAAAACTGTGCAGTTTTGATTAAAGAGGTGATATACTTATTTTAAATTGATATTTACCATAAATGGATTAACCGTTGGTTGTTGATTCCAACCTCCATCAAAAGCTTGCTGTTGTCCCAATCCATTTGGTTGTGCTAATCCAAATCCAGAGGTGGGCTGTGCCATATTAAAACCCCCGGTTTGTGGAAATCCTCCATTTTGCGAAGGAAACTGTCCAAAATTACCAGCTACAGCAGGCTGTGCTGGCTGTGATCCGAAAGCAAAGAAATCTCCTGCACTTGATTGTGGAATTTGTGCTGGCTGACCGAACATAGCCTGTCCTCCACTAGCAAATGGATTAATGACTGGAGCCGCTGTAGGAGCTTGACTGTTTGCTAAACCTCCCCCACTAAATGGATTAGCTGAAAAAACATGAATTACATAGAATAGTTGCAAACCCTCCAAAAAAAGAATTCTTTGGTATATTCTATATTTAGAAAGCAAATTCAGCTATCAACATCAGGTATGTATATCGGTACATGTTAAGTTTCAATTACATCAGTACAAACAAAGAGAATGCTCAATCCAGAAGCATCCATATTGACAAACTTGGCATTAAAGTTACAAATAAATGGTCTGTCTGTTCCTTACATTTGTGATGAGATATTTTCTATTTAGTTGGTGCAAGCTTTGTCAGTTGATATTCCTGCTTACCAGATTGTCATTGTTCAATAATCAATTGTGTTTACAATACATGTACTAATCATAGAAAGAAGTTTCAAATTGTCTTACCAGATCCAGTACTTGCAGGATTACCCCAATTTTGTGTTCCACCAAATGTGTCTGCTGCACCTAAACCACTGCTAGGTGTTGTAACTGTGTTTGTACTATTCCAACCAGCTGTTGTAGTAGATTCTGTGCTCACATCGGCGAAAAGGTCAGCAAATGCTGCATATTTATCTGATGGATTAGCAGTATTAGATGTTGTAGGAGGAGGAACTGCATTAGGTATAGAAGTAAAAGCACCTAACCCTGTAGGAGTATTAGCACTAGATCCTGTTCCTACAGGAGCAAATGAAGCTGTAGAAAAAACCCCAGATAAACAGAGTATAAGATAGGTTTACATTTGATTTCAAGACTGAAATGTGACTTATTGTTACCAGCCCTGTAAGTATACTCTTCAAAAAAAGTAGGGGATATTGAAATGCAAATACCTATGCAGGTTGTGATATGATAAATAGTCATGGACATTTGACATGCTTTGAGAGTATGTTCACAGATGAAGAACTTATCGCCCCAACAGAAGCACTGAGCTGCACATGCGACACGCAAAAGTGTCATACATGTGGGAGGGGTTCATTGTCAAATTTGACACTTCAAGGAAGGGTTGATGAAAACTGCTGCGTGCTGGTTTATCTATCCATGTTTGCTTTCCTATCGGTTCTTGCATAAGATTTACTGTTTAGCGTATCTTTTCTTTAGTGTTTTACGTTTAATTTGATTGGGAGACGTGTTCGTCGACGTCAACGTCAACACTGCAAGAATTGGCCGTGGCACTGCAAGAGGAGTGGGTCAGATTGCCCCAAATCATGATTGGACGGTTGATTAGGAGCAAGCTACGATGAATTGCTGAATGTCTGAGGATAGGTGGAGCAATTACTCATTATTAAGACATAAATCCAAAACGTCCATTTTTCTTTTGACGGTGTATCTCTTTGCGAGTGAAATGGGGCCGTCAGATAAACCGCCCATATGTTAATGTTCCTGTGTATGCAATTGGTCTGTTATTAACATACACTGGTTACCTCTAATAAAAACAGCAGTGCATTTCCGCAGTTTTGTATTGTGTCTGAATAGCCCCTACTTTTTTTGAAGAGTATAAATGCTTGACTGGATTTGAATCGGAATAATGTAACATTGTTCTACAAACTTTCCTGTTAGATGATAATTTAATAAGTAATTTAAACATCTCAAATTTCAACCCTTTTGACATTTGAGAAGTAAGAAAGAAAATAGATAATAGCCAATTATGTATCAAGTCCTCAAAATTTAAACATACAAATTCTAGAAAAAATTATAATACTTGTACAGTACTCTAATATGTTTACAAATATTCGAGATAAGTGCAATCCTCTAGAATTTACAGATATTCACTGATTCATGTATTTTTTTTTACACTGATTAGAGTATCCCTGATGGTTTTAACAAAATGCATGAAAACTACATACATTTATTACTGATCATTTTATCTCAACAATCTAGCCAACTATCTGGGGAACATACAAACAATATTATTTAGGTGGCCTAATATAAAATGATTTTAAAGCTTACAAGTATTATTTGAGACAGGTTGACTGGAAGATACCACCATTGGCTGGCTGTTAAAATTTGAAAAGTCAGCAAATCCACCTGTTAAAATAATTGGAATAATACACATTTTAAATCTAACAAAGAAAAAAAAAAATATTTTAGTACAATGTCAAAAAAGTGTGAGTATGAAATAAGCTTCAATTCAGCATAATTTAACTACTATACAGGATTGTGGGCAATGAATTCATATTCATTTCTTTTTCTTTCTTTATAATTTAAATTTTATATTATTTCTATTCACTATGGTAGGATTTCGATTCTGATGATTGTTGTGCCAAGTTGTGGGGCTTTTGCAAATCAATTGGTCTGTTTGGTCTACCTTTAAAAACTGAAAAAGGTCAGTTGTCTGAAAAGCTGTAATCTATAATCCATTCCTACATTATTTGTTATTTTTCAAGAAATGAAATTAAATGGGGTTTAACATACTACTGTTCTGCTCTGACAGGGCTAATGTCAATGGAGATGGGCATACACAATATGGTGTGCTATGTATGAGGGAAATTTTGCCTCTACGGCCTACTCTTACATCGAATTCCAACTGATCTTTCTTCTGTATGCCAATGTGTACACAGGGCCTGGGTTTTTCGTTCCATCCGAACGACTGTTTGTTGTCCCTTGCTAGGCCCTCTGTCCTGCACCACTGACAAGTGGGAACCAAGCCAGAAAATCCTGATGAACTTTCTCAGCCAATGTAGGGATTGAACACGGGACCTCTGGGTTAGTGACCCCACATCTTACTCACTGAGCCACCATGGCTCCCATTTCAAAGATAGGTTGCCAGGCAACGAAACATACGCCCACAGCAGCTAAATCGTCCGGGCAGTCAACAAGAGTTGTCACATATTTTTAATTTTCGGTAATGAAACATTTATAATACACTAAAATCTGATTATAAATTTAAAGTCAATTGGATATTAACTTTGGCTTCTTGAGCGTCCACAAGATTTTTCAAAGTGATCAAGGCCCATAACTATAGCAGTAATTATTGGAAATCGCTGAAAATCAAAAGGCTTCTTCGTCTCATGACCTTAAACACTGTGTATAAATTTAAAGTCAATCGGATATTAACTTTGACCTCTACAGCGTCCACAAGATTTTTCAAAGTGATTAAGGGCCATAACTCTGGCAGTAATTATCGGAAATTGCTAAAAATCAATAGGCTTCTTCGTCTCATGACCTTAAACACTGTGTATAAATTTAAAGTCAATCGGATATTAACTTTGGCCTTTAGAGCGTCCACAAGATTTTTCAAAATAATAGGTTTTTTTAATCATCGAAATTAAGAATATTATTACCTGTAGCTGGTACAGAAGCATTAGTAGCTGGTGCTGTACATCCAAACGGATCGGAACCTAATTCCCCTAATAAATCAAAACCAGATTTTTGTTGAGGTTTAGAAGTGGGCGTAACAGTAGGGTTAGAGGAAGATACACTAGCTGCAGTCGGTAATGGTATCTGACCTATTACCGGTGTAGAAGAATGGGGATGTTGTCGATTCATTTGTGGAGACTGAAAAAAAAAAATATTTATCAAACATGAATTAGCAATGAATTTGTCTTGTGGATTTTTATGTACAAGAAAGAATAATGGGGTTTACCTTCCACTCAACACTAACTAGGTTATTTCAATATTTTGCTTGTTTGTAGGGACGATTATAAGGAGGAATACAACAGAGTACTCAAATAAAGTCAATAGGGTTATTCAGGCAACACTACTCATTGTCATGTACAAGTGTGAGATCGAATCGCTGATTTGCATAGATAATAGACTTTATATTATACATATAAATTTCATTATAACACTGAGCTTGGGATAAACTTAATAACATCTCTATTCTACATGTACATATCATGAATGGTCCTACAATGCCACAATGCTTTTGGAAGCTCTGATAAAACCTGTGTTAGAGTAACAGTGAACAACACTTTATAGCTAAGACAGTAACATCTTAAATTACATTTAACAACATGGTAGATGAGAAGTATAAAGTTTTTTAACAACCTATTTGCTTTGCGACAAAAATATACAAATTATATACATTACATACACAGGTGAACACTTACAATAACACTTACAATATTATCTTGTAAAACTAACTTAGGTGTTTTATCACCTAACAGAGATCTCAAAGGTTTTGTCTGATTTTTTTTACTAATTGCAGCTTCATTTATACTTCTGGCTTCATCTTTCATTTCTTGTGTTGGTGCATTATACCATCGTTTATTTTCATATTTTTGTACCATAAAATCTCGTACTCTTTGTTCGTCTCTGGAGTCTGGTTCTGGCCACGATCGGCTGTCATATAGTGCTAAATAAACTTTCCGACAAAACTGAAATAAAAAAAAGTTGATTTTCAAAATTTGAAACAGTATGTTTAATGAATTGACAATTTCACTTTCAAAAAGAACAAATTAGATGATCTTTGTCAAAGTTTTCCAACAAACACTGTACCCACAGAAATGGCTACTTCTCAGAAATCCTGGTTGAAGACACAAAAATCACAATTGGCAGACATATATATTTCTACACAATTAAAAACCTTTTGTCCTAAGTTTAATAGAGTTATATATAGTATTAATATTCTTGATCTACATGCACATACACTGTAAGTCTTACATAGGCTTTGCAGTTTACAACTAGAATTGTGAAGTTTAATTCATGTCGCAAAGACAAGGCAGCAGATGACTCTGAACTAGAACCTATTCAAAGTTTCTATAGTGCTACACACCTTACCTTAGAGAAGACAAACTCAAAACTGTATGTTAGTTAATTACACACAGTTATAAATAATGTTTACTAATATTTATTATCTTATCTAAAATATGTACTATACATGACTATATGAGTCAATGAGTATTACAATATAGATAACCAATTAAAAGTGATCTAGTTTCATATGATAAATAATAGGATGTATCACCCTGTATCATTCACAATCACTTTGATCATTTACTAAAGTATGCAGTGGTTAATCCACGGCAAAATACATTAACACAACACGATTATTACTGTAGCTGGCGTATGCATCTGTTTCAAACTCATTCCTCATTTTCTCTTTCCATAAAAACTTCAATTAGAGAAAAACCAAATCTTATGTGACATTTTTGTTGAAAAAACAAATTTTCAAACTGTATCTCCAACCCTCAGATTTATGTACATTTGTAACAGGATTATGCTGTTGTTTATAAGCAAATGACTGTCATAACAGTTAATCATTACAACCATAAATAACTGTAACATTTAAGATCACTCGCAGCACTACTTATCCTGGTGATATGTTTTGTCATTTTTCTTTTGAATTTATAAGTAATAAATCAAAGATGTCTCACCTCGTTACCATGGGATTTTAAAGATTCTATTTCATCTGGAGAGAAACTTGCCATAGATATAGATTTCACTCTGTGAGGTGGGTTTAGTCCTCGTCTGAAAATAAAAGTTTATATACACATGACATCATGATCAAAATAAAGAAATGAATGGGATTATCTGATGTTTTATTTTGATTGGCATTTGAATTATTATTTCTAAAGATTAAGTGAAAGTTGTCTTAGTTTACTAATTTTAGTTTTATTTCTGGCTTACTGTGTTGATAGTTGAACACACTACTGGTTATAAGGGAACATCAACACTCACTTTACCTGTATGCGAAATATTCAACCAAAATACCTAATTGTCATTCCACAAAACAAACATAAAATCAAGTCCATTTTTGACACAGTTCAAAGCGGTTTAGACATCTTAGTTAAGTTAAAGACACGAGATGCTGAATAGACATTAACAGATTCTCTCTTGGTTTTTTTTTAAAGAAATTCCTGTACCTTGCACATGTAGGGTGGTTATCCACATACAAACACTGCTATGATGATACGTCAATTCATTCAACACAATATTTATTTAGAAAATATTTTTTAAAGATTTAACGAAAGGTGTGGGTCAGAGTGATCTAATGCATGAGCTGTAGATCATAAGGCCTGTAAGTTATATATGCAACTCATGAGTTCTATATGCATCAAGGGTTTGTACGTGAAAAGGAGTAGGGTTGTCTAATCGATTTTCTCTGGATTCCTCTTACTTCTAAAGAAACCTGCATGCCCCCCACCGAAATACCCAAATAAATAGATGACACATATTAATTAATCGCAGAGTTATTTTTTTTCAAAAGTGTCAAGCAATCAAACTGATTATCAACTATACACCAAGTTTCATCACTCTCTACGAGATAGAATCAAAGTTATCTTGCCCCAAAGCATCGACCAATCAGATTGCTTATCTCTCCTTACCGTAAGCAGACAATGTTTATCATTGAACTCCATCAAGGAATTCACCTAATGAACGCCTACACCAAGTTTGAACATTCTAGCTCAATTAGAAGGAGAGTTATTGTGTTCCAAAGTCTTGGCAATCAAATTGCTTATCGCTCTGCTATCGAACTTAGTCAAGGTATTGATGTAATGAAACTATACACCATGTTTCATCACTCTCACTTAATTTGAACTAAAGTTACATGTATCGTGTCCCAAGCATGAATCAATCAAATTGCTTATCTCTGCTTACCCTAAACAGAAAATACTCATCTTCGAACTCCATCAAGGCATTGACCTAATAAACACCTAAACCAAGTTTGAACATTCTAGTGCAATTAGAAGAAGAGTTATTGTGTCTCACAAAAGTGTGACGGACAGACAGATGGACCCATTTTAATAGTCCCCTGCTTTCTTCGAAAGGTGGGGGACAAAATATATCACATGTAGGTCCAGAAATGAACAGGTTAATATCGGACAGACGTTAACCCCATTTTTCTTTCTCTATGATAAGAAAATAAACGTTTAAGGAGGATAACTAAACGATAATATTATCAATAAAAGAACACAGTTTTTATATAATGGTACTGTCTCTCCTTGAGGAGTCAATAGCCAGAGCTACATGTACATTTACTGGTTCAAAGGTTAATAGAAGTAACAATATGCACAGACTTGTGACTTGTCGCCTGTTTATCTTTGATCCTGTCACAGTTTATGAATTAAATTTAGGTAATCAGACAATCACGATTGATAAAATTCAGTGCATTTAAAATATGTGAATTATTCATAAACAATGTCTAAATAATCCGATCAGTGAACTATACAATAAAGAGATAGTAGCAATCAATCAAAAAGAATGTTTATATTATCTTTACAATTGGGTTGTACTAAAGTTGGTTCCTTACAAAGACACATTTATTTCTCATGAAATTCTTTATATTAAACAAACTCTGGAAAACGTACATTGTGTCAAAACATTATGAAAAAGGTAACAATCTTCGATTACATGTTGCAGACTGAAATACTGCAAGGGATCGATTTATTTTAATATCTGTCAAAAACATTAATTGTTCTGAGGGTTTGGTTTACACATGAATGTTTTTACTTGGGCATCAGTTTCTATCCGGCATCGAACTCATCCATACCCCAATTGCAAGCAAAGTTTAGGTTCAATTAGAAAAATTTGATGGATAGCCAGCATTTTCTTTAATTTGGAAATTTTAAACTTATTACATAATATCAGGTTGAATATTTATTTTACAATACACACCATAATCAATACCAATATTTTATAACTATTAATTTGAACATTTTTGTCTACTGTCAATGTGCTAAATGCAAGTTATTTACATGTACATCTGGTCATATCGTCTGCTAATACAGGATTACGTATCATGATTACTAATTTAAGCTTAACATTCTATATTATGCAAATATCACGTCAGCAAATCCTGATGACCCTTTTCAGGCTTGATGATGGGACCCTCCAGGTTAGCGAGCCAACTTCTTACTCACTGAGCCACTGTGGCACCCTTTTGAAAGGAAAGATGGACTTTGTAGAGCTAGCCATATCACTGATAGAAATAACACTTATTTGATCAATGACATTATTCAAAGAGGTTTAGTGCCTTTAAAATGAACTGGTTGTCATGAAAAAAAATGGTTGTGGATAAGGCTGGGGTACTATAGGGAATCTGAGAATTATAATATTAGACAGAAATAATATCTGTGTAAAAATAAAACAATTCTGAAATTATCAACCAGATACATTTATTAATTACTTGCACACTTTGTCACTTGTGTGGGCTAAAACAATACCCAGTTGTTTCATTCAAAAGGTAATTGTTATATTTGTGCAAAGTTAAGATTTTCCTAGTATCAGGGATAATTTTCTTAAGTAAACATGCATTATGCAAGAGCTAAATCTGATTATTGCAAGTCTTAATTTAGGCTTCAGATGTTATAGAAATTATAAATTAGATCTTTATTTAAACAACAAGACCAAAATCAACTCTGTAGACCCACGGATGGCTCGGCTACAGCTCGGATTTAAATAGGATTTCACTAATTGATTAAATCAGATAAGGGGTAACCTGATGAAAATACGTCAGTTAGATCGAGGCTAAATGATAGAGTGTACTTAGCGAGGCCGCTGTAAAGCGTTTCCGTATGCCATTGAAAACTTTACTTGATAATCGTGATATGTAGGTGGAGTTAACGCCTGTCAATCAAACATTCGGCAACGGTGAAGACACATTTCGCTACCATTTCTAGGCAAATATTACAACGATGATAACTATGTTCAGAATAAAGTAATTTGACTGAATTTTTCAATATATTCTTCTTTCATCATCTACTTTTGAACTGTTATAATGTATTTTTAAGTAAAGCACACTGCCTTTAATTACTGGCAGTTAAAATGGGCTTCCACTTCAAAATGTTGATTGCTGGACAATTATGATAACGAATGGAAGGTTTGAAAATTAATTTAATACATGAATCCTGTTTTCATGGACTTTCACAGTGTGGTGTAAATAAAAGATTTTGAAAAAGAAATAAAATCTATCTACCCTTAGGCCTACAATTATTATTTCTTAATGAAATATTAATTTATTATTAAAGATACATTAGTTAAAGATACATTATGGGAGATTCGATAACGAGTTGGCAGTTCTCACTGTAAAGTTAAAAACTAGATAATGTAAAGGCAATTTGCTGAAAATTTCATTCAAATTGATCCACTATGAACCGTGAACTAAGCGACTGAAATTTCCGCCTAGCCTCGATCATCATTACTAAAGTCAGTACGATAAACAGCATAGTCTCATTTATCCATTTAATTGTTAATTCGTGAAGGAAAGTTATGCAGTAAATCGGCTCATAATCCACTAAAGATCTCAGGCTAGCAATGCAATCTAGAGTTGATTATGGTCTGGATAGGTTAATTAATAATATTAATGTCTAATTAATAATTTAGATAAAATTTCAGGCCTAAAGAAAGACCTGCAATAGACAGATTTAGCTCTTGCATAATGTATGTTTAAGATTAGATAAAGAGCTGACCATTCTTACTATAATACTTCGAAATAATGCAAAATGAAAATATTAAAATTTCATTTAAATTACTTTAATATTCTGACCCAAGTTATCACCGTTTGTAGTTTTGACAAGATGTGTGCATTGTAGTAACCAGAGCACTGATATATTCAAGACTTAGCCTCGCTTTCCCATTTTTAAATTAAATTTTTAAATGGCGAACCGTTCTAAATTCTAATCTAGTTAAATCTTTCATATTCGATGCCATCAAGAGTTGATTATGGTCTTGTTTTGTTAATAAATGTCTAATTAATAGTTTATATAACATTTCAGGCCTAAAGAAAGACCTGTAATAGGCAGATATAGCTTTTGCATAATGTATGTTTAATAATAGCCATGCAAAGTGCTCTTTTTTTTATCAAAATAAAGAATTGAGGTCGCTCATAATTGTAGTATAGCCATGTTTGAAAATGAGTTATCGATGGTTATGTAAGTTTTCTGACATGTAACTAACTCATGTATTCCGAGCACTCTTGGTTAATTTTTAAGAAAATCTATCCAGTAGGACTGATATGTTCCAGCTGGGTTAGTTGAATTTTAATGTAAGGGGTAAAACTCATATCAGCACTAATAAATATATTTATTGAGACATGTGACTAGTTTTCATTAGGTGTCATATTAGCACAGGAAGGTATCGAAACGAAACAGATGCATTTTTCTTCGTGTTACATTACATTTACAGTTTACAAATTTGCCATTTGACTTAGATTGACAATTAATTCAGACAGTGGTGAAACATGTTGGGGTTTCTTTTTTGCGAATAAAGCTTAATAGATAAAGCTTATGACCAGTATTTGGTATAAGTTATACCAAATACTGGCAGTATTAAAATAAACACACATTTTGATGAACTGTAAATTTTAGTAAATTCTTGTAGCTATGCAACTTTTCTTGCTTTGTGGAACCTAGACATTTCCCGTGATCATATTGTAGGCATCCTATAGTACATTTGTCCATGCAACTCTGACATCACCTGCAACAACTGACAACGAACAAGAGCCGGGTTAAGTTTCCGATGGATTGGATTATTAATTTACTATTAGAAACCACTCCGAAATTCGTCTTTTTAAGTGTAATTTAGCTTGTTAAAAACTTTTTGGTAAATAAAAACAGAAAGACTGAGTAATCACAGGATGAAAAAATAATTTCAATCAAATCTTGCAAACACCCATTAGTAAACATTGCTAATCGGCTTTAAAAAGTCATGTTTTTGACATGAGATTTCATTCTTGAACTTGATGACTTATCGTCGGACGATACGATGACGATGTCGTGTTACTTACAGAATTCCACTACACGAAGTACACACAAAGGATCCAATTGTCATATTTATATATGTCGGCCCACGTTGATGACAATCAAAACACTGTTTGTTGCTGGTCAGTGACACCATGTCCCGTAACATTTTGAGATGTTTTTCATCTTGCTTTTTCTTATTTGACGCCATTTTGAGAATAAATCGTCGAATAGTGTTTCACTTGATTAAACTAAATAATAACCTGTTCGCACAGATAAAGATGGCGCTGTGTATGTAGGCTACCGAGCGAAGATATGTCACCAGTCAATATTTTGTTTCTCGTCCACTCTCACTCGGAATATTCTTGCCAATTAATCAAAAATAAATTCTGTTTTGAACACCATGTGTCAAATATATGACGTTAATGGATATAATTATTAATGCCGAGAAATTAAACATCGGAATTATGACCGTGAGATCCACCGTTTATCAGTTATCATCGATGGTTATGGATTGATGAATGTTGCACACGCAAAGCAAGTCGGACAAATCTGCAGATCTTCATTTTGTGAGATTTTTTTGTTCAATTATTTGTAAAACAAATTACTTATTGTAGTTATAAGAATAATCCAGCTGTGAATTTGCACGCCTGTGCTTTCAGATCAGTTATTGAAAAAGTAATCATGTACTTAGAATAAGGAATAACTGACCAATTTCATGAAGAAATGTCAATTTTTGTCGCTTTGAAATTGTTCTTTGATTCTTTGATTTACTTTTTATTTATTTTCTGTAGAATTGACACGGTCACTAACTGAAAAGTGTGACAAATCCTCTGCTTGAAAGTAGAGAATTAATGTCAAGTGGATATTAATAGTTAGCACAAGAACTAATATCAATTTAATAGGCTATATCATGTAATTGAATTTTTCCTTATAATAAAAATGTCTGCTGTTGAAATCGGATACCAAAACTAAAACATATAAAAGGCAAAAAGGTGTGGTATGAAGAGGGTGTGGTCATTTAATTTCATTGATGGGTATTATGATCATAAATTTCTCTAAAATGTATTTAGAGTCCAAGAACAACAGAAATTTTTTTATTAGCACAATCAAAATGCATCTGTTGGCCCCATTTAATAATTTTCCTAAAGCAGTATCATATTGATACCATGTTAGATCATATTATGCCAAGATAAATTACAAGCGCAAGTGAGAGATATGTAGGCCCTTACATGTAGCTGATACCGATATTCCAATATTCTATTTCTTGAAATGTGGACAAATTTTACTGACTTCACTATTTGGTCATGAGGATGACTTCTTCATCACCCTTTCTCTGAACATTTATGTACGCATAGCTTTAAAGCCTTTGTCAAATCTAGAATTCTCTGTAGATGATATAAACAGGATATGGTCAAAAGAAGCCAGCAGCACCTAGAATCTTCACCAAAATCTTTTCATGGACGTTTTTTTTTAAATCAAATCGAAACCAAGCTGTGAGATTACTTATCACAGATAATTTTTTGATTTTTTATTCTTAATCAAATCTTACATAATCAATTCGAGTACATTTTAGCGTGGATTAAACCTTAAAAATTCGATATTGTCCGACAACTGCAAACTTGCCATCATCATTTTTAATCTTACTTGTTGTATGTACCTGAATTTATATTTGTTGTGTTTTATTTTTCAAGGCTTGAAGTATCTGTAAGCAGTTTTAATAACTGATTAATTTAATTATAAAATTACCATACAATCTTAAAGATTATTGTGGTAATTATTATATAAAGCTCAATATGACCATGGGCGATAAATCACTTTATGCTAAGCTCATAGTAGATGTTGTTATTGGTCCTATATTAGAAAAGGTGAGTGAACACTGTTTTTGTCTGTGTGTAAGTTTACATGTTAACAAAAATATGATAATACTACATGAAGGCCTGTATTTATATTAAGATTTGATTGTATTATAAATTATTAAAATAATTATTACTGGTAGTATTAGTACCAATATTAATCTCACTGCACACTGCCATGCCAAGTGTTATTACATATGTCTTATTGTCTTGTTTCATTTACTACAACTAAGGTCTACATATACATAAAATAAGTACCATACACTGTATGTAATCATATGGCATAGTTCTGAATAAGACAAATCTAATTAAAGAGAAATTACACATCTGTCAGTAAAACTGTATAATCTCATTCATGGAAGGCTTGTGTATACTAACTAAACCCTTTTTTAAGCTCTTGTATGTAAGGTATGTACATGTACATGTGATTGTGTTTACCACTTTAACAATATATTTCAGTTAGAGAAAAAAGATATATCAGCAGCAAATACTTTGAGATCAGCTTTTGCAAAGGTGAGACCATTCTTGAAACTACTTAATAACTCACACATTTAGTTGTCGTCTGAATTTAATCAGAATGTCATAATTGTATGAAACAAAGTTAAATTTTGACTGTAGATGATAAAATTGATCAAATTTTTTTATTAAAAAAAAACATAATTAGAATGGATATTGAATATTATATTCCAGGCTGAAGGATCACTACCAGGATTAACATATGATTTTTTATGTGATTTATTACGTAAAGCAGAGATAAGTGATAAAATTGATGTGTGTGAAACATTATTAAGACTAGGTGGTAGACTAGATACAGATGGTAAGATTTATTATAGCTCTATATATAATATATTCCAAAGTGAAGTGGTATCAGAGTATCAGGTGTTTCAGAAATATTAAGCATTTAGCATACCTGGACTCATGTCCAACACACTCCACTGTGAGCCCTGTATAAATTGAAGTTATCACAAAATCCATACAAAATATATAGTTGATATTGGTGAAACAAAGAAGCATAGAATTTTAACAATTTCTGATAATTGCTAGTACAGAATAGGTCAGTAATGTTACTCATTCCTTTTTTGGAAATATAAATCTTTATTTCCATTTATCTAATTCCAAGGATTTATTATAACCGGGTTGATTTGTATATATAAAACTTTATTCAAATTGTTGATCTTGATTTACAAGCATTGTATCACAAAGCTGTTTGAGTGCCAGGCAACTATTTTAGAGTCTGAAGGAAAAATATATGTTATAGATTTGGTAAGCAAATGGCTATTACATAAAAAGTTTGTATTGTAAGTATACAGTAGTCACTCTTCACATGTATTTTACAGACTTTCGCATTCCACGAGCTGAATCAAGATTCCAAGAATTAAACCATTGTTCTACAGAATTAAAACGTGTTCTTAGTAAAATACCAGATCAAATATATGACAGAAAACTATTTTTGGAAACAATCAAGTAAGTCTAATACCACTTAAGAAATATTTGTTGATTATTTTCCCCGACATATTGTTTATGACTATCATGATGCAGTTTTGAAATGTACTGATCCAAACACATTTTTAGCCATTCAATATTCATCCAATAATGTATAGTCACTTGTATTCTGTAGACAGTAGAATGATATTATTGTAATCTACTTGGTCTGTTGCCTCTTGTGGTACAAAAAGCAATTACATATATCCCTATAGCACTTGCAGGGTTTGGATAATGCAGGTTTCACTAAAGTTATAAATGTTTTGTGTTTACAGAGATATAGCCAATGCAATAAAGAAACTTTTAGATGCTGTGAATCAAGTCATAACAGAAATTCCAATTTCAGACAATGGAAGTGGAAGCAAACAGGTATATAAACTCTTTATGCCTATTGTATGAATGCAAATCTGAAATTTCATTTCACCTGACAAAATGTCTGGCACGGTTTAAGCTGTACTAATTACATTTCGACAGACATAAATATCAATTACAACAAAGAGAGGATAAATCTGTGCTTTTCAATGTGACAGCCAGCAGTTCCCTCTCATTAATGCTATGTAAAAAGTATTTTCTGCTGTGGTTGCCCCTTCTGAATGGTTTAGGACGGAGGGTCTGGTCAGGGACAATGTATAGTTGTTCAGATGGGATGGAAAACAGAGATCATGTATACATATTCGTGTGCATATAAAAATAACCCTTGGCGGTTGGAATTTGATCTAAATCTAAGAGTAAGTCCAAGCGCCACGGTCAGGGCAAAATGTCCCTCACAGCACTCTGTATGGCATATGCACGTCTTCATTAGCCCAGTCGGAGTAGAAAAGTAGGATGTTATACCCCATTTAATTTCATTTTTCAATTATTGTCCAAAGACTCGAAAATCCTGGAATTTTGTATGACCAAAGGGAGATGACCCTTGTTAATACACTATGGCAGGGCTCACACTGTCGGTCGCCAAAGTCGCAATTTGGGATAAAAATATGAAAGTGGTGGAAAAAAAATAGAAAGCCAGTGTGAGCCCTGCACTATGGATACAGACCACCATTGACTTTCATGTTAATTCTTTTCTCTTTGCATGGCTCTAACTTTTCTCAATTCAGTTAGTGATAGTATGTTTCCATACTAGTGGCAGTTATTGACGCAGATAAATTATTCTGTCTGAGCACGACACTAAAATTTGTGACCCAAAGGGAGATAACCCCAGTTAATACAATATGGATGGAAACCACCAAACAATTCCAATGGCATTAATATTAAGTACTGTCTCATTGTACAGCTCTAAATTATCTCAATTTGTGGTCTGCCTCCATACTAATTCTAGTTATCGATGTAGATAAGTTACTCTGTCTAAGCATAACAAGACAAAAATGAAAATCCTTTCTGGTACTTGAAAACTCTTGAATTCTTGCCATTTTTCTCCTGGAGTGAAAGGAACAGTCCAGATTTCACAAGGTATCCATTATTACAGGTTGGTTTAAGTAGGCATATTGAATACAAACATGTAAATAAATTGTCAATATACCTAAATTGCTGTGTCTTAAAAGATTCACTATTCAGCTCATAATAGCTACATGTTTATATATAGTGAGCTGTTCTGCTATGGTCTGAGATAAAAAAAATTTTTGGCCTGTTATTAAGCTTATAGACCCCAAACTCTGTTTCCATTTCATTGCAAATTTATTGAGAGCTTTGGATAGTTGCGCAATGACAAATCTTGGAAAGGCTCTTTCACACAGAATTAGCTTGTTATATTTACTAAATTATATCTGGGACACCATTTGCCACCTAAATTAACAATTTATCATTGCAGATATTAGAGGACAGAAAGAAAGAATTTGTAAGATATTCTAAAAGATTCAGTAATACACTGAAAGAATATTTCAGAGATACTAACCAGTAAGTAGTTTTTTGGAAAATTTGTACCCAATCGACAATCATCTAAATATAAAAGCTGCATTATGGTAGACAAAATATTTTTAAACTTCTTCTAAATCATCTAAATTTAAAAGCTGCATTATTGTAGACGAAATATTTTTTTAAATCGCTTCTAAATTGTCATTCTTTTCCTTCATAATCATAATTAGCATTGTCCAAAAATTAAGATTTCTATTTGCAGGAATCAGAATGTTTTCATGAGTGCCAACTACCTGGTCTTCCAGACAAATGTTATATTGAAAACAGTAAAACAGGAATGTTGTTAGGTCTAACTAACTATATGTATGTAAATTGCAAGTGGTTATATTAAATTCTTATGTTTTTACTTATATCATGGTTAATAGAAATAAAAATACTGCAATATGATATGGCATTGATACTTGGTCAAAACTTACATTAGAAGGGGAAAAATTATTGACATTTCAATTGAGAGTTTGACTGATAGGGCATTCTGTAGAATATGTAAAAATTTCATTGTATACTCTTCAAAAAAAGAAACGCATAGTGACATTTCATCTTCGGGATATCCTCAGTCTACCATCGCCTTGTTGCAACAGGAACCGCAATTCGTTGCTGAACCAAACTGTTCTCCAGCGTTGCTGTGGCCATACCCTGTGTGTCTAAACCCATTGATGTCAGGACATCTGGCTTATATTCTGGTTTTACGTAGGTGTTTATGGACTGTCTGGTCAGATCCTACGCCGTCAAGGAATTGCTGCTGCAGTAGAGGTCACTGTTGTGAACCGTTTCCGCAAATGACGTAACTGGATATGACGATCCAGTGCAGGTGGGATCACACTTGTTTGGCCTGAGCTTGGGCAGTCACATGATGAACTTCGCTGTTGGTACCTATCCCAAAGGCGAGAAATGGTACATTCAGCAGCCTGGCTACATCTTTTTGGGATTCACCTGCTTGTAACCGACTGATAGCATGGTTGCGTTGATCTGCGTTCAGATGTGGCATCACTTTGCTCGTTGAGTGTTTACATGTGCAACTGATTTTAAAACCGAGACAGCCAGGATTTTAAAGGCCTTAGATTTGGGTTTCATGCGAAAAGCTTGCGAAGTAGTTGAACTCGTGTTTTGGTGCAATCAAGTGAAAATAAATTTCGGCAAAAAGTATGACCTGTCACAAATAGTGACCGTACATTTAAAACCAATAATGAATTTCTTTTAACCATACATAATGACATTAAAAACAAATGATGAAAAATGGGCTGTATGTTTCTTTTTTTGAAGAGTATATGATATAATAATTTTGTGTATTACATGTTGAACTAGATAGTTTTGTTATTGAAGACTTATGAATGAAATCTTGAAACTCTGGATCACTGCTTTGGCTTATTATTTAGTACCGATAATAATTTCAATTTAATCTATAGTAAATTTGGAATATATTTCTGAAAAAGTAGACCAGTTGTCAATTTCTTACATTTTGATACCTGTTTTGTCGTTTTTACACTTGTACAGTCAAATATCAACGGAAAACGTGTTTACTGTTCGTGGAGAATGGTTTTAACCTTAACCTGTAATATTCGCATAAGCCAGACTTGAAACAGATCAGCCAACTTATAAGTAGTTACCGGTAGATCTTCATATAATGTGGACCAATATATGCTTAAAAATCAAAACAAAATTAGATGGAATCCAAACATTCTACTGAACCACTTGTAGTTTACATATATAATAGTTGTACAGAACATTATGGGATATATATTTAGACAAATTATAGAAATTACTTAAAATATCCTTCTATTTATCAGTTCTTTACTCTGATGTTTATGTTTTATATATTTTTGTTTAACATTGTTCTATGTTAAAAGCTGTATATTTCATTGTTAAATTAATCACAATTATATTTTCATAAAATTAGTTGAATACACATATCCATTTCTAATTTAATTAAATTTTTATAGAATTATTATATTATCCTTTGTATCAAAGTCAAATTGTCATCAACTTGTTAGAACCACAGACAATGTGAATTTATTTATACTCTTTCATTCCTAATCCTACCCCATCAATAGTTACACATTTTAATTTGATTCAGATCATCTTTCATTAGACACTTTCATGTTTTCAGTTTCTATATGAAGCTCCTCTTTATTCTGTAATTCTATGTATTCATTGTTACCTTGACTGACAATTTGTTCACAGATTGACTTTAATTTCATGATGGTTAATTCAAAGACTGGTATTCTCTATTGAACAGAATTAGGCATAAGTAATACAGTAGTATATCTTAAAAACCTTTAGCCCAGACAAATATACCTTTAAACTTGTAGTCTAGATTATCATACAATTATTAACTTTGTGAAAGAATATTATATCATTTATATAGAAGGTGAGCATTATAGTATTGTATATTGGGACACTGAGAGTAAGATGTGTTTCAAACTATAACTTTAACATTTACCAAGTTCCAAATTTATCAACAAATGTTTTTATTAGGCAATTAATCTGATTTCACCTTTTTGTGATTTTCAATATATGCAAATATGAGTAGAATTACATTCAGATATGAGTAGAATTACATTCAGATATGAGTAGAATTACATTCAGATATGAGTAAAACTATTTTACCTGGGGTGTCTTAGTATTCAAATCTTTTCTGTTGTTTTCATTGGTGCTTTGAACAAATCTATCCATCCTAATATATATTAATGCGGACATCTTTACGTGTTGCTTAGAATTGTAGATATTGGTCATATATTATATATATAACTTCATTTCCTCATGATATGTACATGTATAACTCATCTGGGAATTGGTCTTACAACATAAATACCGATATAAATATATCTCTGAAACCAAGGTTGGTCTCACAAATAGTTTAAATGTCAAATAGTAAGTTCACGTTCTGCTTTAGATGGTAATCATATATTATCTAGATTACTTATAGCTATGATGATTCATTATGAAATTTTAAACATGATTTAATTTTTTTTGCGTGACAATAATGTCAGAATTTCTAATTATTGTGAGGTTTACATTTACATTAATACCATGACACATTGTTTGGCAGTCTGGAATCCTCAGGACACATCATTGGCTAAGCTAGAATCCTCAGGACAAATTGCTAGGCAGTCTGGAATCTTCTTCCTTTTCTGTGGCATTTTACCCAGTGTTCAAGACAACATATTGAAGAATTGTGTGGGAGAAAGAAGTATGTTTGATGGAGTTGATCATTTTTGTTGATATTTTACAGTAGTGGAAAACAAACCTGATTGATCACAGGATATCCAGTTGATCTGAGTGTTCATGTTGACTGAAGATTGTAGTTAAATTTTAGCACACATTTAATCGTGCACAAATATATGCTCCTTTAAATATGATTGATTGATATCATTAATTAAGTTAAAAGTAGAAAATGTCAGCATCCACTCACAATTGCCATTAAATGTTATGTATATAACTTAAAATTATCACTTTTATGTGGAAGTCTTTACAATTTCAAAGAGAACATTTTGAGTTTGCTATATTGCATTAATCTACATTCATTTTTATACTCAAAATATGAAAAGGGTTTACATGTTATCATTAGTGGTGGTATATACATGTAAGATTTCTCTGAAAGCTGGTGGGTACTTCAATCAATTTGGGGCCCTGCACAAGCGCAATCAAAAATTTTTTTGTGTGGGGGGGGGGTGAGGGGGTGGGAAGATCCAAAATTATTGGTCAGTTATTTGACAGCCCAAAAATGGGGGCCACAAACCCTTAATACCTGCAAGACATTATAATGATTTAGACACAAAAAACTATTAGTTATACAATTACTAATATTACAATTAGGAAGTGCTAAATAATTAGACAAAATATTATCAATAACACTATTAATGTTCATTTTTTATTATATAAAGATTTAAATATATAATTTTATCACATGTTATATATCATCTGTTTCCTTAATTCCAATAAATAGAATACATGATAATGTTATGTGTACATATATCTAATTAACATATATAAATATACATATAATGATATATTATATTGTAATAAATATATAGAAAAGGGAGCATTGTCTTTTATTAGTTATACTTGAATTAAAATGCATGCTCAAATAAACTCATTCGTATTAGGTTGATGACAGTGGTAATGTGCACCTTACTTTTTTTTGTGTCCAATGTTTTGTATTATTTTTAGATGAAAAAAAGGCAGACTTTATTTGGAAGAGAAGGGGGGGGGAGGGAGGCATGGATGGCCGAATGGCTAGCGTGTGCTCGTTGTATCATAAGTCAACTGGTGTGGTTTCGATTCCCCGGTTCTATGTGATAAGGGGTAGGATCGCCCGTCAACCTCGTGGATTTTCTCTGGGTCCTCTGGTTTCCTCCCACAGCTAAAGACCCATATGCGCAAGCGAATTATTGAAATAAAATTGAACCATATATTCGTCTCAAAATGATCCTTCAACATCCCAATCAACACATCCAACATATGACACATGCATTCTTTTCTTACTACATATCTTAATACTAACAGCCTTGTGATCGTCTAGTATTTGTAATTGTCTTCGTTGCTTCCTTTTCACTTGTGTATTTCTTCTTCTTATCTAAGTAGTTAAGACATTTGTCTTACCAGGAATAACAATGCAACAGTTCAGTTCTACTTTTTTATACGCCCACATTGAAATGTGGTCATATATTGTCATCGCCCCTGTCCGTCCAGCCGGCGTCCACAATTGCTTGTAGATGCTCTAGAGGCTAAAGTTAATATTCGATTGACTTTAAATTTATACACAGTGTTTAAGGTCATGAGACGAAGAAACCTATTGATTTCTGACAATTACTGCCAGAGTTATGGCCTTTGATCACTTTGAAAAATCTAAAGTTAATATCTGATTGACTTTAAATTCATACACGGTGTTTAAGGTCTTAAGATGAAGAAGTCTATTGAGTTCTGATAATTACTGCCAGAGTTATGGCCTTTGATCACTTTGAAAAATCTAAAGTTAATATCTGATTGACTTTAAATTTATACACAGTGTTTAAGGTCATAAGATGAAGAATCCTATTGATTTCCGATAATTACTGCCAGAGTTATGGCCTTTGATCACTTTGAAAAATCTAAAGTTAATATCTGATTGACTTTAAATTTATACAGTGTTTAAGGTCATAAGATGAAGAAGCATATTGATTTCGGATAATTACTGCCAGAGTTATGGCCTTTGATATTAAATGTTTTGTATGCTAAATGTTAGAATAGGACAGAACTAGAAGCCAAATGGGATGTTATTCGTAATCAGATTTTAGTGTGTAGTAAATGTTTTCATTTGTGACAAAAGAATAAAATATGCCACAACCATTGTTCATTCCACGGTCGACCTAGCTGCTGTGGTCGTATTTTTCGTTGCCTGGCAATCTATCTTTATGTCAAGCTGGATACATGTGGTACAATGCATAATAGATACAATAAGGTCATTCTCCCAATCCCACCCCACCCCAGCGATTCTGCTGATAGAAATTGCTACATCATATGGCTATTCATGACCCTGAATATGTGCAATTACTGATGATTGGTTACTTAAGCCAAATCATGCAAGTGTTAAGTTGCAAGTACTTATAGCCAGTGGTTACAATATGCACTTTAACATCAATCTGATTAAAATTAAATCAGCTATCTTCACTCAAAGTCGCAAATATAGACCTGCCGTAAAACCGATTTTGTCAATTAACGTAAACACTCTTAATCCCCCCCCCCACAGATACCAGTGACGTCACAGTGACCAAATGCATATTAGGAATGTTTATTCCTTAATTATCTATATACAACCGGCGTGTGTATTCATTAACGCCTGACTGATTCCTTAATTAATCCCCTGATTAAATAAAACAATTGACTACGTAATAATTTATTTTATAATTTATTTTAATTTAATTTAAGATCCAATTTAGAATTTGTTTTATAATGTCCCGCCCTCGCTTCTCTTGTGCAGTCCAAACGATTCGAGATACATTTCCGTCAGAAGAGTATTGTGGTTCAAATTTCCCTGAGTAAAAGAGTACAGGAGTAAAAAGATTTGGTCATGCAAAATGTATCATAAAAGTCAAACATGATTGAAACGCGATTTGTAAATGACGATCCGTTATCAGAGTAGCCAACTGTGTCTCATTTTCCTGTAGCCATCGTACGGCGCCTTTCTTTCTGCATTTGGATTTGACTTCATTACTCTGAAGTAGACCGTAAAAATGAAATACGAAACAATATCTCAATATACGTTAGTATTAGCAGTAGAAATAAACTTTGTTGGTAACCATCTAACTATCTTTGTGTATTAATAATATTAATAAAGTGGCAAGTGTAGTGTCGTTAATATCTGTCATTAATCAATCGGACATGGGGTCATAAATTAATTTACACCTCGACGTGGGATTAGTTATGCTGATTAGTATCTTTTTAGCCGGCCAGATCAAACGAACGAACCAAGTTACGGGGGAACTTTGCTACAAACATTTCTCCACTAATCGTTGAATTGTACACCCGTTACACCCTTTTATTGTATAGAATAACCAAGTTTTACTCATCAGTGTTTATAATTATTTTTTATCCAATAATCAATTAGCTTTGTTCATCGATGTTTTTTGTAATAATGTAGCCACGTATTATTAGTTGATTGGCGTTTAGACGACATTTAATTGACTTGATATGAAATCTGAACATAAATTATTCGATAGATAACAGTTTGTGATAAGATTAGGTTATAATGTCTAACATCGTTTAACTTCTTTGTTAACAAGAGCATCGCTAACGCTGCAATATACGTCCACTTTCCTGCTTTGATTGATAAGATACTTTTTAAAATGAGGAGAATGAAATATGAAATGGCTGTAATATGACATGAGACAAAGAAGGCTAGGCGTTGGGCTTGTTTTGCCAAATTTACAGACAAAATACTAACAAAAAAGTGGGTGTGACACTGCCACAGGAGGTCGGGACAATCACCAAAATAAATAGTATAAGGAATAGATATGCAAAGTTCCAAGATGATCCATTCAGAATTCAGACGATAAATACAAAAAATGGGTGTGGGTCTGCCCCTGGGGGTTGGATATGGAACAATATAAATAGGTACCACCCTTTTATTGAAATTACATCAATAGTTGCCGTCCTTGGGGTATAAGGAATAAGTATTCCAAGTTCCAAGATTATCCATGTGGCCTTCAGGCGCTAAAGGCAAAAATTGGCGTGGCTCTGCCCCTGGGCGTCGGTGCATTCACCAAAATCAATAGTTGACACCCTTAGGCTACAAGGAATACATATGCCAAGGACAAAGTTGATCCATTCAGAACTCCGGCCTGTAAACGATAAACACAAAAATTGGGCGTGGCTCTGTCCCTGGGGGTCGGTATATGCAGTTGTCGTCCTTAGGCTATAAGGAATACATATCCCAAGTTCAAAGACAATCCTTTAGGAATCGTGGCCTGTAGGCAACTCACAGAGACACAAAGAACAAATGGGTGTGGCTCTGCCCTTGGGGGTTGGGCAATCACCAACAAACAATAGAGAGAATCCTTAGGGTATAAGGAATAGGTATGCAAAGTTTAAAAATAATTGCGGCCTGTAGATGACAAACAAATAAATACAAGAAATGGGCGTGGCTCTGTCCGAGGGTGTCGGGCATGCACCAAAAACAATAGGGATCATCCTTAGGGTATAAGGAATTCATACGAAATTTTTTCGTGTTGGACATGGACCAATATATATATAGGTACAACATGCTGGATCATTTCGAATTGGATCCAAATTTGTTAATAATGGCAACCAGTTACCTGTATATCATTTACAGACAAAAGTCAACAAAAAGTGGGCGAGGCACCGCCTAAAGGGCTGGGGGTGGGGTGGTGGAGGAGAGGGACGTGCACCAACATCAATAGTTGCCGTCCTTAGGGTATAAGGAATAAGTATACCAAGTTCCAAGATAATCCATTCCGAATTGTAGCCTTTGGGCGCTAAAGGCAAAAAATAGCCGTGACTCTGACCCTGGGGGCCTGGCATTTACCCAAATCAATAGTTGACGCCCTTAGGCTATAAGAAATATGCCAAATACCAAGCTGATCCATTCTGAATTGCGGCCTGTAAACGACAAACATGAAAATTGGGCGTGGCTCAGCCCCTGGGGTCGGACATGCAGTTGTCGCCCTTAGGCTATAAGGAATACATATCCAAATTTCAAAGACGATCCATTAAGTATCGTTGCCTGTAGCCAACACACAGAGACATAAAGAACCAGCGGCTGACAGGCAGGATACGCCCACATTTTGCAAGAGATGGATAGAGAACAAGCTAAAAACAAACGGGATTTTTTGTACAATCAGGGGCAATAATCCAGAAAGTTAATGGTCTGAAATGCGCAAATACCAAAAGGGACTGAGATCTTTGGGATATAAAGATATGTTTTAATTTTCATCAGAATCGGATAAAAATTGTGACCTCTAGAGGGCCGACAACCTTCGTATTGCATAGTTTTACACAATTCGCGAACAAAGAGCGGCCATTTTGTTGGGCAGTTTCATTTCGATTTTCCCGAAATTCGAATTCAACCTTCATTATGGTGGAATGGTGAAATATTTAAACGGTTTTTAAAATCGGAAAAAAATTGTGACCTCTAGAGAATCAGCAAGCTAAAAATGCCATTTTTCGAACAATCAGGGGCCATAATCAAGGACGTTAAGTTCGGGTATCCGCGATTATTCACACATTTTTTTTAAATCAGATAAAAATTGTGACCTCTAGAGGGACCTAAAGCTAAAAACTTGATTTTTCTTACAATCAGGGGCCATAATTCAGGAAGTTGCGTGAATATCGAAAGGAACCAAGATCTTTGGGTTATAAACTTACATTTCAAGTTTCATCAAAATCAAAAGAAAGTTGTGACCTCTAGATAGGGTCCACAACATTGATATACCATATTTTTACGCTATTTGACTACGAGGCGTGGCCATTTTGTCTGTCAGTTTTGGTTCGATTTTTACGATATTCCAACTCAACCATCCTTAGGGTGTAATGGTGAA